GTATTGTAAATAGTATATAAGATGTAGGTTAAGTTAATTAAATGTTGATTTTCACACTGAACGCTCGTCGTGATTTCTACCGAGAGTCACCCACACCCCAACATCACATGGCGACTGTGACGTAGAAGATCGTGCTGCATCGGACGGGGTCCGTTATGTGAGTTTTTTGGAAATTTTAATCGACCATGGCAGCATACTTCTGAGCGCAAAGACCCAGAAGGGTTCGCTTGAAGAAATTGAAGATGATTATTGAATCACGGAAAACTGCAAACAAATTACCTACGCACTCGGTTCCTCGGTTTCACGTATATGAAGATACATTGAAGAAGAAGATATATTCCAATACTGCAAAAGGGCATGAAAATGACTACGTTATTATGAAGGAAATCATTAAGCTACAATTAATGTCAAGTAAGTTGTAATGTCGTCAGTTTTAGCATTAAGAACAATAAGTAAATATTACCCGACATTATTTTTTGTTTTGTTAAAATAAATTATATAACGCATTAAGATCTTAAAATGCAGCTTAACAGTTAATTCATCTCAATTTTTTATATTACTTTTGTCCCGGTAGACTTTTCATTTATTACTTATTAAGGATTTTTCGCAATTTAAAGTTTTAAGGTTTTCATTGTAAAAATGGCAAGTTTTGATTTAGAGACCGCACTAGCCTTCTTACCTAGAATGATGGGAGAAGAGCATAACACACAATGTTTAATTAATAATATAGAATTTTACAGTAGCGTTATTGATAATAACTCGCAAAATACTTTAATTAATTTTGTTTTAAAAACTAGACTCTCAGAAACAGCAAAAATTTATTTAGAATCTTCTTATGATAGTATTAATCATTTAATTAGTGACATAAAACATTATTTTTTACCGAAAAAGTGTCCATCATCGATTCAATTTAAATTATTTAAGTGCAAACAATGAAGTAGGTCTATAGAACAATTTGGTTTAGAGATCAATAAACTGTTATCTGAATTAACTATTGCTCAATCGGAAAATGATCAGGAAAAGATTAAAAATTTGCTTCCGTTAAATGAAGCTTTTGCAATAAGATGTTTTGCTGAAGGTTTAAATAGTAGTCGAATAAATTTAATTTTAAAGTGTAGGCAGCCCACGTTATTAAAAGATGCTATTCAAATAGCACTCGAGGAATATATTACATCATCGAATAGAGAGGAAAATATGATTCAGCAATGTAATTACTATAAGTCAAGGTTAAGTTACAGACCGAGAGTAAGAAATTATTATTTTAAAAATTGTAGCGTAGCAAGTAAAAGGAATGTTTGCAAGACGTTGGAATCTCGCATTCCGCGCGACGGTCAAGTTCATTCGCGCAAAGCGCTAGATAAGCAAAATCGTGCTCAAATCGATGAGGTGTGCTCTTATATAGAAACTTGTAATACAGAGGTAATGAATTCTATAAATAGTTTTAATGACGAGTGTTATGATTTAAAGTTAGACGAATTTTTTTTAGAAAAAGATCTATGTTGTAAAAATAATTTGCTAAGTAAAAGCAATGGTAACTTAATTAAGTCTAACCAATGTAAGGAAAAGCGAAAAGCTTCTTATAAAATACGAAAGGAAAATATGTTCGCAATCGACGAGATCACAATGTCTAATGATAACTCTAAGAAAGAGTTCCCTGCAATTAAAGCAGATTATGTAAAAGCTAGTTCTTATGTAAACGTAATTGTTAAAGAGTATTTTAATGACAAAATAGACAATAAGAAGTATGTGCATTCTAAATATAATTTATGTGTTTATGCACCTTCAAAATGCGAAATATATATAAAGTCTGTGTCATTCCTAGAAGAGAAAAAACTAGCGAAAGATGTTGAATTGCTTTGTAAGCATTTACAAATAAAAGGTTTGATAATTAATGAAAAATGGGTTAAAAGTTTTAATAACTTAAGGGAGAAATATAATGTTGTATTACCCATATTAATTGTAATAAGCGATATTACACATGGAAAGGATAAAATGAATAATAATATAATAAAAGGGGTTTTTAATATATATCATAGGGGTAAACCCGAAAGCTCGAAAAATAACAATATTTTATTTAATGTTTATTATACAAATAAGTGTAATAAGAAAGATTTTATTAAGAAAAGAAATAATTGTTTTCAAGACATGCTATGTAGGAAGGCATACAACCAACGTGATGTTGGAATAGATTAATGAAAATGTAAAATTCTAATATGTAATGTTTTTTTTGTTAAAAATAATTGTTTAGTAATTATAGTAAGGAAAACGTAAATAATTGTTTAGTAATTATAGTAAGGATTTATATTGATAATAATTGTTTGTATAAATTTTAAGATATTTTTTTAATAAAGTAAATGAAATAATTTAAGTTACATATATATGAGATTAGTAAATCTCTTAAAAAGGTTTTAACATGTTGTTATGTATAATATGTTAATAAATCGAGTTACATATGTTAGAACGTAGAAGAAAAGTGTTTAGGGTCTTCCTTTTCAGGGGAGGGACGCCTAACGTTTCAGGGGAGGTGTGGTGAAGTGTAAATCACGTCTTCTACGTGATGATAATCATCCTCGATACGATTAGGTCTCTAAGCCCTAAGCACGTCGTATACGTATTGTAAATAGTATATAAGATGTAGGTTAAGTTAATTAAATGTTGATTTTCACACTGAACGCTCGTCGTGATTTCTCCCGAGAGTCACCCACACCCCATCACCACATTGGTCATCCATTCAATGACCGACCACTGCAAAAGTTGCTTTGCTTTACGTTAAGTTGCAGTTGCCGAATGCGCTGACCACTTGCGCCATCGAGTTCCTCACAAATTAAGTAATGGCTCAACTATATCATGAACCCTTGTACGGTAATAAAATTATATAACAGCATTATTTATGATTGGGAACAGCATTGTTTCTCCAAGTCGGTTAAAGTCATGGGATGCACCAGCTGTTTAGTTTGTCATGAAGATTGTAAAAACCTATTTATGAACGATGCGTATTTGGTTCCTCTTAAAGGCGATAGGATGGCATCCTGTCATTATTTTTGCCACCCAAATGAAGGTTAAATGTGGCTTCATCATTTTAAGGTGGTGTGGGACGTTGGCGGCGGTGCAGGGCGGCATATACCTACCTACATATACCCGAGGCGCTAGGAGGGCGCGGGATAGCGGGTCACCAGCAGCTTGGTGGCCTTGGCGAGGTCGTAGGGGCGGTGCAGGGCGGCATATATCTACATATATATACCTGGGGCGCTAGGAGGGCGCGGGGTAGCGGGTCACCAGCAGCTTGGTGGCCTTGGCGAGGTCGTAGGGGCGGTGCAGGGCGGCATATATCTACATATATATACCTGGGGCGCTAGGAGGGCGCGGGGTAGCGGGTCACCAGCAGCTTGGTGGCCTTGGCGAGGTCGTAGGGGCGGTGCAGGGCGGCATATATCTACATATATATACCTGGGGCGCTAGGAGGGCGCGGGATAGCGGGTCACCAGCAGCTTGGTGGCCTTGGCGAGGTCGTAGGGGCGGTGCAGGGCGGCATACATCTACATATATATACCTGGGGCGCTAGGAGGGCGCGGGATAGCGGGTCACCAGCAGCTTCGTGGCCTTGGCGAGGTCGTAGGGGCGGTGCAGGGCGGCATATATCTACATATATATACCTGGGGCGCTAGGAGGGCGCGGGGTAGCGGGTCACCAGCAGCTTGGTGGCCTTGGCGAGGTCGTAGGGGCGGTGCAGGGCGGCATATATCTACATATATATACCTGGGGCGCTAGGAGGGCGCGGGGTAGCGGGTCACCAGCAGCTTGGTGGCCTTGGCGAGGTCGTAGGGGCGGTGCAGGGCGGCATATATCTACATATATATACCTGGGGCGCTAGGAGGGCGCGGGGTAGCGGGTCACCAGCAGCTTGGTGGCCTTGGCGAGGTCGTAGGGGCGGTGCAGGGCGGCATATATCTACATATATATACCTGGGGCGCTAGGAGGGCGCGGGGTAGCGGGTCACCAGCAGCTTGGTGGCCTTGGCGAGGTCGTAGGGGCGGTGCAGGGCGGCATATATCTACATATATATACCTGGGGCGCTAGGAGGGCGCGGGGTAGCGGGTCACCAGCAGCTTGGTGGCCTTGGCGAGGTCGTAGGGGCGGTGCAGGGCGGCATATATCTACATATATATACCTGGGGCGCTAGGAGGGCGCGGGGTAGCGGGTCACCAGCAGCTTGGTGGCCTTGGCGAGGTCGTAGGGGCGGTGCAGGGCGGCATATATCTACATATATATACCTGGGGCGCTAGGAGGGCGCGGGGTAGCGGGTCACCAGCAGCTTGGTGGCCTTGGCGAGGTCGTAGGGGCGGTGCAGGGCGGCATATATCTACATATATATACCTGGGGCGCTAGGAGGGCGCGGGGTAGCGGGTCACCAGCAGCTTGGTGGCCTTGGCGAGGTCGTAGGGGCGGTGCAGGGCGGCATATATCTACATATATATACCTGGGGCGCTAGGAGGGCGCGGGGTAGCGGGTCACCAGCAGCTTGGTGGCCTTGGCGAGGTCGTAGGGGCGGTGCAGGGCGGCATATATCTACATATATATACCTGGGGCGCTAGGAGGGCGCGGGGTAGCGGGTCACCAGCAGCTTGGTGGCCTTGGCGAGGTCGTAGGGGCGGTGCAGGGCGGCATATATCTACATATATATACCTGGGGCGCTAGGAGGGCGCGGGGTAGCGGGTCACCAGCAGCTTGGTGGCCTTGGCGAGGTCGTAGGGGCGGTGCAGGGCGGCATATATCTACATATATATACCTGGGGCGCTAGGAGGGCGCGGGGTAGCGGGTCACCAGCAGCTTGGTGGCCTTGGCGAGGTCGTAGGGGCGGTGCAGGGCGGCATATATCTACATATATATACCTGGGGCGCTAGGAGGGCGCGGGGTAGCGGGTCACCAGCAGCTTGGTGGCCTTGGCGAGGTCGTAGGGGCGGTGCAGGGCGGCATATATCTACATATATATACCTGGGGCGCTAGGAGGGCGCGGGGTAGCGGGTCACCAGCAGCTTGGTGGCCTTGGCGAGGTCGTATGCGGCGGCGCGCACCTCATGCAGGGCGGGGGTTCCCCCTCCACACGCGGCTACTACTTCACCGCACGCAGCGCGCAGATCACTCAACGCTAAGCGTACGTCGTCCTCGTCGCAATCCTGTGTGAACAATGAGAAATATTTGTTGTACTACAAAAGTTGGAGAAAATGAAGATTCGAGTCTAAGGCGAAAACTTGAGAAAAGGATTTATATGCTATATTTATTATAATGTGGTGCAGTGTAGTGTAGTGTGGGCGCGGTATATAATAATTAATTTATTTATTAGGAATACTTACAGCTAAGAAAACAAAAATCTAACTTTAGTATTAACAAATAGCCAATTATAGGTAACAACAGATTAAGTTATTAATGACGCAATTTTTGTGCAATTAATAACAGAACACAATAAATCAATATTTTATTTGGTAAAATAACATCATTTTTCAAAAACATATTAGACACAATACGTTTCGCCGAAGCCTCGCTGTTAAAAAGATCTAAGTTGACCTGCTTCACTAAAGTGACATTGTACATTAAAGTTATTATATGCAGATAATAGATATGCATTCCGCCGATAGTTAGTAGACGCGGGAGGGACACATAAACTGGAATTTATTGGAACGATAAGGTTAATAAAATTTTAGAAACAAGTTCCGAACAATCCACGGCACTAGATGCTATCTTCTAAGAAACCGCAATCTCTCGACGTTTTGCTGAAGGAAGAAGATGATGCTTTTTACAAAGTTAGTTCGTTAGCGGCTCGACTCATATCGGTCATAAATGCGGAAACAGAGGTATTTTAAAATTGTATAAAAATACCTGCGGGAAGAGCGCCAGTAGTGCGCGCACGCAGTGTCGTACATCGTGACAGCGCTGGTGCAGTGCAGTGTGGGCACGATATATATACCTGCGGGAAGAGCGCCAGTAGTGCGCGCACGCAGTGTCGTACATCGTGACAGCGCTGGTGCAGTGCAGTGTGGGCACGATATATATACCTGCGGGAAGAGCGCCAGTAGTGCGCGCACGCAGTGTCGTACATCGTGACAGCGCTGGTGCAGTGCAGTGTGGGCACGATATATATACCTGCGGGAAGAGCGCCAGTAGTGCGCGCACGCAGTGTCGTACATCGTGACAGCGCTGGTGCAGTGCAGTGTGGGCACGATATATATACCTGCGGGAAGAGCGCCAGTAGTGCGCGTACGCAGTGTCGCACGTCGTGGCAGCGCGCGGCGAGGCGGGCGGGGTTGTCGCGCGCGGCGGACCACAGCTGATGGATGGCGCGCGTGAGGGGCTCGGCGCGACGCTGCACCATCTCCGCGGACGGCATCAGCTGCTCACCGCCATCGCCGCCGCCGCCTTCCAGCACGCTCTGAGTCAACGATCGGTCGAGACCCGAGAGAGTTGTTAGCTGAAACGCCTCCTTAATAAACTCATAGTCACTGGTGACTTTCTAATTAGAGGGCTAATCATAAGTGCTACAACACGCGATCCGCGATCAGCGGCGGATGTCGGTTGCACGGATGTTAATTTGTATGACTCATATGCAAGGTGACAATTTACATAAGCAGGACCGCCATCAAGCGCGATGCACATGGAAGTTGCGCGATCCCGCAGTTGTCAATATATTCAAACTCGCAGACAGACCGCGCACGACTCCACATGTTTGCCTATTTTTGTTTTCCAAACTTTATTTTCTAGATTGTTTCAGTTCGTAACGTGGAGAAAAATGAATGCAATGTCCGCACGGTTTTCGCAAGTACATCCTACTTCGCCATCCGCTACCTTTCACGGTGCTGTCAACAATAAAAACAGATTTCTTTCTTTCTTTCACGGTTCGCTCGTGTGTTGCGTGCTTCTTAGGATCGCACTCGAGTTTTAGAAAACACATCACAACCTTAGAATATGATTTCACTGGAACGGCTAACGAAACGAACGAAATCTCGTAATAACGTATTAGATATTTGATGAAGAGATCGTCCGTTAATTGGAAAATTTCGTTTTACCGAAACGGATGAATGAAATTGACAAGTGAATGAGATATATATAATGTATGCAAAAGATAAAGATGTATCGAGCTTTTCGCGTTCAACCTGCAATAAGGTATTTGACAGTATTAAAAATAAAGTGCCAATTGTTAGCATCTGTGTTTAGAATGAATATTGGCAGGGTTTTTAACTATTTTTACAAAAAAAATATTCATAATTTTACTAAAAACTCACGATACAGATAATAGTTTTCTTATCTATTGTCACGTGACCCAAAACGCTTGGGATTGGCGGAGCTTAAAAGGACGTCACGCGCAAGTAAACTTCCGGTTAAAGTGACAGTACATTGTATCGTTTGACGTTTTAATAACAGTCGTGTGACGTCACTAGTAAGACGCCATATTGACCAGAAAAAGTTTTTGCGGCAACTTGAAAATGGAGCTTTTGATTTGGTTATTTTTAGTGAAATACACAACAGAATGATGAATATCCACTTTTAATGGACTCCATAAACATTAGTCAATGACGTGAGATCATTTTTTAAAACTTGTCAAATACCCTATTGTGGAAGTTCAACAACTATCACGATGGCCTGTCATAATTATGTCGAAAGTCAAATTTAATCTCGCGAGCTTCTCCGTGCTTCGTAAGGCACTTCATACTGCTTCTGAAGACGTCAGCATTACTAATTTACGATGCACTCGCGTGGTGAATCATGACACATGCATATGTTGAAATTGATGAACATTAAAGTTTAAACACGAAAATTTATGGGAATAGTTGGACAGATTGCGTGAAAGTAAGTCCCTCAGAACAAGAAATAAAAAAGCATAGAAGTAATGCCATGACGTTTGAGCGTACACGCCCATACAAAAGATTTCCAAAGAAAGTGTTACCCTACCAAAAAGTATTAGTGGCATGTTGGCAGGTTGCATTTGTCGTTAGACCGCTTTTTAATTCAGTATCTTATAAGTAACCAAGGCACCAACCAAGCCATTGACGACCTCCGTGGCCGAGTGGTTTGTACGCCGGGTTTCATGGTGTCACCTACTCGAGAGGTCCCGGGTTCGAATCCCGGTGCGGCAGAAGTTTGTGTGATGAATACGAGCATTTGTACTCCATTCAAGGATGTTTAATATGTATTTCTATATAAATATACTTATAAATGTAAAGTATTTATATTCTATCCGTTACCCTAGTATCATATAACACAAGCCTTACAGTGCTTACTTTACAGGGCTAGGCTAATTGGTGAAAGCAACTAAGATCCAAAAAAAACGCCTGTATGTGTATACGCACGTTGTTCATAGCAACATACATTTGTCTCTTTTTGGTTTTTATGTAAAAATGAGAAAACTATATTAATCGACTTTATGCGTTGAATAGGCTAGTTGACTCATGTCGAATTGTATTAAATAAATGTTTATTTCTTAAAGTATTTGGTCTAAGGATCCTAAAGATATCGATTTTACTTCATAAAAGCAGAAGATTGCTGTAGAAATTTAATTTAAAAAAGTAATTTTTAGTCTATACTTTTTAAACACTAAAAACGCTGTTCGCCACATCCGCCATGATTGTGACGTCTTTGGTAGTAAATAACTAAATGTCATTCATACATAACCTTCAAACTTGTATTATTAAAACTGATAATAAATGAAGAGACTTAAAATATTATTCAATGAGTACATAATTATATTTCTTTGCAAAAATATTTTTTTCTATGAGTCAATAAAGTTGCAGTATCCTTTTTAGCAAGTTCTTACCAGGTATTACGTAGGTTAATTTCTTTCGATACTTTAATCCACAACTTTCCTGGAGTCTTCAAGGATGATTTTTACATTCTCGTTCAATACAATAATGATAATTACTATGTTTTTCGTGGTATTTATTAGAAATCATGTTTTTTTTTTATTATATAAACAGATAGGTATTTTCGACGTGCTAAATAGTATTTGTTTACTACCGGTTGAAGTCATAGCATAGATAAATCTAAATTATTATTATTATTATTATTATTAAAACCTTTTTCCAAAAAGGGTCAACTAGCCTATTCAAACTCTTTCTATGCTTTACTTCTAGTCCTGAGAAAGGAACGTGTGTTGAGATGACGGCTGACTGATGGAAGGGAATATCATTAGGAAAATGGCAAAGAGGATATCAATTATTTACTTCAATAAACTACTATTTTTTTATTTGTTAATGTATACTTTTACTACTATTCAATCATTTTGTTTTCTATTCTCAATCATTAACAATAACTACAATAGCTGTATTGTTGTAACCGAGACAGGTAACAAGCATGAACTTGTTATTAAACCGATCCTTGGACTTTTGTTAATTTAATATTTCAAAGTTAGATTTATTAAAATATCTAAATGATTTCTACTAATTAATATGTGAGTACCATTACAGGCCCATAGATCTTGAGTGCTGACTTTGAAATTACGTATCAGATAGTGCAATAAGTACCAAATTTGTTTAAGAGGAACGAAATCCCCCAAACTCAATATTTACTCAAGATCAATGGTCAGGGCTATTTCGTAATAAATTAGTTATCCATAACTTAAAAAACTATCTGAAAATAACATAATATTGGTGCCAATTATGGCGTGATTCTCTAAACTTAAAACTAAATTTAACATCAGTCTCTCCTTTTCATTCTGTATAGAGAAGGACAAGGATATACTGCTGTCAAATTTAAGTTCAGGTTTAGAGAATCATGCTAGAATCGACACCATTATAATATTTTTCTACTATGTTAAAAACTTCTAATCAATGGTTTTGAAAAGCAGTAAAAAATTGCTACTTCATATGATAATACCTTCATACGACAGTCGCACCATCCAATTTATTATATATTAAAAAAAACTAAAATTGTTATAAATCAACGCTACGTTAAACTACATACTGAGCTTAATAATTCTAGTATTAGTAAAATTAATATAATTATGGATTAGTACCTGGTGTTTAGTAACCTGCCAGTTATTCTTTGGTCCCTCCCTAGTCTCATACATACTGACCGGTCGCTGCGCGTTCTTGAGAGACTGCCTTAGGTCAGCCTCTTCGTCTGTCAAAGTCAGCTGTTCCGTTTCCAGGCTCCGCCCCCTTTCGGGCGGCTTACTAGCGCCATCTAGTACGTTACTCGCGAAACTATCGTTGATAGAAGCCTGCGACGCGACGCTCTGATCGTCGTCCACGCTACTCGTTGTTTTTAATACACTGTTTTCTTTCGTCAATTGTTCTACGATGGTTTGAAGGTTCTTCAGTTGATTTTTCAGCTCTGTGATCGTAGAGTCTCTGCTGTCAAGTTCCTTTTTTAAAGTGTCTATTTCGTCCTTTTTGACGGGTGTTCCGGTTTGTGTCGTTAGATTGCTGGGCGATTGCGCGCGACGGAGTTCGGAGCTCAATGAATGCTCTATAGGTAAGGACGGGTTGTAAGTGGAAGACACGGTTTCGCCGGGTCGTGGTACAATGTTCGCTATCTGTGAATGAATACGGAAACATAGCAGTCTTAACTGTTTGCGCGGTTCGTACATAATTACACGACACAGTAGTACCCCAAGCACGAACAACTAGCGAGAAAGTATTCGTATCGTCATTGTCAAAGTTTTTATGGAAAGATCTAGCTTATTGTTACGTCGGTTAGGGGCGCTGCTTAATTAAAATTGAAAGTGACATGGCGATACGTATACTTTATCGCTTGTTGTTTGTGCTTGGGGTACAGGGAATTCCTTAATGTTTTAGGAAATTACTCAACTTCACCTGATTACGTATTCAGTGTGAGCGAAATAATATTTTTGTGGGACAATAATCATATTTCACAATATTTTTAAGAACTTTCATAAGTGGGTCCTCTTTCATATAAAAAACATATAATTGTCCATAAATTAGCAATTGATTTGCCAAAAAGCAATGTATGGAATAGGAACACAACCGCGGCGGCGCATTGCTTTCAATTTATGTAAATAAACTTATTTTTAACTTGAGGTGTTCCGTGCTTCAGAAGGCATGTTAAGCCGTTTGTTCGGGCTGCATCTGCAGTCGTTAGCACCCATCAATACATACTACTACGCGCGCCAGCGTCCATTTTTCTATAATACCATCTATAGGTAAGGCCTGTGCCCCAGCAGGGAGGACATTGATAACATATTTCCCCCTCCTCCCCCTGCGCTATGTGTGTGGTATAATGTGAGCTCACGTCGATGTGTTCGGGCGCGAGCGCGGCGTAGTCGTCGTCGGACGCGACTCGTCTGAAGCCTGAGATGCGGGTAACATGCCCCCCCCCCCCCCCCCTACCTACCGTTGCAATATATGTGTGGCGCGAGCGTGGCGTAGTCGTCGTCAGACGCGACGGAGTCGTACAGCGGCTCGTCTGAAGCCTGAAATGCGGGTAACATGATCCCCCCCCCCCCCCCTCTACCGTTGCAATATATGTGTGGTATATATAGAGTGGGCTCACGTCTACGCTTTCGGGCGCCAGCGCGGCGTAGTCGTCGTCGGAGGCGACGGAGTCGTACAACGGCTCGTCGTCGGACGCTTGCGACGCGCGTATCAATGCACCGACGCCTGCCCCGCCTAACGCTAGACAAAACGACAAACATACTTGAGGAAAAATTATCTACGAAACAGTTTAAAGGAATTAAATAATACCTTATCATCAAAATTAATGCAAAAAATGATGTCTCCCATCATGGGAGAGATTTGATAGTTGTGAAATAAATAAAAAGTTGGGCACTGCGTTGTTGTTGATAGGTAATCGGTTTTTCCGACCGTCTCGGCGTCCGTTTATTTGCTGTGCAACTTTTTAAATCTAAAGAAAATATAACTAGTAAAAATTACACGCGGACCAGGCAGCAGACTCATACCCGCATCCTTCGCTATCCGGGCGAATGCACTGACCTAGCCTTTCTTAAGCTGCAAGGCAGCGCTATCTCTTCGACACGAATAAGAATACTAAGTTAAGGCGGCGGAGGAGAAGTCGTAAATGAAGGTACTTTAGATAGACCGCTTAACTGAGTACCCGCCTGCGGGTAAAGGGTGTGAGGGAGGGCGAAAACCTCTCGCGGTCCCCCTCCCCCACACCCTGTAGCCCGCAGACGAGGTCTCAATTGAGTGGTTTATCTATAAAGGTCGCCCGCGACTTCGTCCGCTTCATCTTTAAAGAATCCCACAGTAACTTAACATTTTTCCGGAATAAAAGTATCCCATGTCTCAAACCAGGTCATAAACTATATGTGTACCGTAAGTGAGGGTTACTTTAGCTCGGGCGGGTAACTTTGCCCCATCAGTATATCTTGGGTGACCGTAATAGTTCCAGTTAAAAATCATAGATAGCCATATAGGCGTGCAGTGTGGTGTTGTTTTACCGACATCGTTCCTGTATCAAGTTGTCATTGTAACGTGGGATTTTTTGTAACTGAAATAGTTCGCAAGTTCATGCGCAAACTTTCTCAAAACTGTGGTTTTGAAATAAATTTCAAGTTATATATTTTATTTCACTTAATTATTTTTGGGCAAAAACATCGATTTGTGTATTCAGTATGCTAATGGTGATCTGTTATAAGGATTACTTAACCCCAACATGACTTAAAATGAGTTTTTTTTTCACAGAGAAAACTCAACGAGCTAAAGTAACCCTCTGTAAGGCCAACTTTGGCCCAAAATTAAAAAAATATATATTAACCCTTAAATATTATTTTTTCCTATTTTCGTATGTTAACTTTGCAACTTATACTTTAAAATTGACAGTGATGTAGATTCTGGCATGATTCTCTAAAGCTAAACTTAAATTTGATAACAGCGCATCCTTGTCATTTTGTATACAGAAAGAAAAGGAGAGACTCATGTTAAATTTAGTTTTAAGTTTAGAGAATCACTCTAGAATCGACACCAATGGCAAGATATAAACGTGACATATTCATCATAAAGAGAAGCTACAGTTTTATTTGAAAAACAAGTGCACATTTTAGGTCAAAGTAACCCGCAGTTACTCGGTACCAAATTTCATCCAACTCCGTTCAGTAGTTGATTGAGATTGAGTCTTAAACAAACTCACTTTCACATTTATAATATGAGTAGGATATAATTTTATAGCTACTTCCTGTGGGTTATAACGTAGCTATGTGCTGCCGTCTCGTTGCATCTACAAGCACGTCGCTAAATAGCCATCTCGACCGTAAACAAACGTGCCAACTTCTGCTTACCTAGGTACTACACATCATCAACCTATTAATGTCCTCACTGCTGGGGCACAGGCCTTCCCTAGGGAGATTGGGCCATGACCCACCACGCGGGCCCAGTGCGTATTGGCGGGTGCTAATGACTGCAGATCCAGCCGGGACCAACGGCTTAAAGTGCCTTTTGAAGCACGGAGGAACTCGAGATAGAAATTTTTGGTCACACATCCAATGACCGACCACTGCGAAAGTTGCTTAACTTCAACGATCGCAGCCGAACGCGCTAACCTCACCTAACCTAACCACCCGCGCCATTGAGCTCGCCCTCTGGTTTCGCACGTCCCACCTAATATCCTGGTCGACCTCCGTGGTCGAGTGGTTTGTACGCCGGGTTTCATGGTGTAGCCGACTCGAGAGGACCCGGATTCGAATCCCGGTGGGGGCAGATGTTTATGTGATGAATACGAGCATTTGTACTCCAGTCATGGATGTTTAATATCTATTTCTATATAAATATACTTATATATGTACAGTATATGTATTCTATCCGTTACCCTAGCATCCCATAACACAAGCCTTACAGTGCTTACTTTGGGGCTAGGCTAATTGGTGTGAGTGTTGGAAATATTTATTTAGTTATAATTTTTATTATTTTAAAGCATGTAACTGCTTGATGTTTAAATCTAAAGAAAATATAACTAGAAAAAAATCCACGCCGACCAGGCAGCAGACGGGACAACTCAAAGATTATAACGGTCATTGCTATTTCTTCTTTCAAATGTTTAATACTTGTAAAAGTATTCATTTGACATTGTGGGTTACCTATAATGCGAAGAGAGAGCTGCCTTGCAGCTTAAGAATGGCTAGAAGAATTTCGACGCGGTCCGTGAGGGCCGCGGTAGCATAATGGGTCAGTGCATTCGCCGGGATTGCGAAGGGTGCGGGTTCGAGTCCCGTCTGCTGCCTGGTCCGCGTGGAATTTTCTTTTCTAGTTATATTTTTTTTAATATTTATTTATCCTATTAAAGGACATAATTATGTCCACATACCTCTGGGTTGTAACGTAGCGATGTGCTGCCGTCTCGTTGCATCTACAAGCACGTCCCTCAGTAATGTGGCCATCTCGGCCGTAGACAAGCGTGCCAACTTCTGCCTGCCTTGGTTGCGAGGCGCGGACAACGCTGGATTCACTGGTAGAAACACTACGCCGCAGCGTTCTAAGCCCGTTGCGCTGGTCTGCCATACTGGAAAATTGGATGTTATATTGAAATTTAAACCTTATTAAAAAGTCTTAAGAGTTAATATGGTCTGTACTACAGTTTTTGGAGAGTAAAATAAGAGGAAAAGTATAATTGCGGCATATGAAGTGTTAGAATTTAAACATGGTCCGGAAACCTATGCTTTTTCCCCATAAATTTGACCTCGTAAATTATGCAGCACTTGCGTCGTATACAAAGTCCGGTAAAAGAGGAATTATTTATTTATTTTCATTTGGGAAACATAAAGTTTTTCACAATTCAATTAAGTAGCACTTATTACTTTTTCATAAACCAGTTAAGTTTCCACAGACTGAAATATTCATACACTTACATAATTTACATAAGATCACGTACAATATTTAGAGTTATGCGAATAAAAGAAAATAATTACTAAGTGTTAGGGTAAAACGACCTTATAGCATTCATTTCTAAATTGATTGTAAGAAAGGCAAAATATATCCAAGGAATAATACATTTAAGAAAACATTTAGTTTTCGTGACAGAAAAAATAAAACAATCACTCACTATTATGGTTATTAACGAGATTGCTACCTTTTATACACTCCGGCAAACTTCTAGTGCAACGACCATAGACAAGGAAGCCCGCATAGTCACAATTTTTAACATATAAAAACGTCTACTGTGCAAGTTTATTTGTCGTGAGTCTCCGATATACGGCACTTTTGCAAGCGCCATGATCAAGGGTTAACTAAATTAATTGGGGGTAGATAGATGTTCTTGGAAAATATATCGGTCTACCCTCTGACGTAGTCTTATTGCGCTCGACTTTAGCAATCCCGCAAATAACTATAATGTTAATGACCATGAAAGTTTAAAACAATAAATCACTCACTAGCTTCCGTTTCCCGCCGATCTATCTCGTCGTAAATATCCATCACCAGCTCCTCGAACAGGTGGTTGGGCAGCTGGAAATAAGACATTAATTAGATTTACTCTTTTAAAATTGCAATTAATATCTTTTGCATTAAACTGTTGATTCCGCTAAATAGGTAAATTACAATCTAAACAGCAAGTGTTTTTAAAGCTCGGTAATATTTCAACAGGCAACGAATTAGAAACGACATGGAACAAAAACTAAACTTCAATACTAATGCGACACGCATACAGATAAAACAAAATACTTTGACGAATCAAATTTGATTGATGTGAAACGGAAATCTCAACCAATCCCACGATCGGCGTGTTGATCGCAGTTTTTTCGCCCCGCCCACTTGATTGCAGTTTGCGTGGAACCACTTTTTAGCGCAGTTCGTATTCCATATTATTTCTAAATCGTTGTCAACAGGTTAGAAGACTGGTCGAGTAAATTTCTTGTCATAGCATTTGCATTGGCACTATATTACATATAAACATACTTGAATGCATATAACATTCAAGACAGTTCATCACCCTACCGTTTTGTCTCCTCCAGGATTTGAACCCAGGGCAGCTGCATTCGCATTAACGATAATCGACGCGTGGGTGGGTTTTTTCAGTTTTTTCACTGTAAGCTTCAGCGCACACCGGGAGGGGTGCGGTGAGGATACTGAGAAGTTAACAATTTGAGTTAAATCTTAATTCCTTGATCTAACAAATTCAAAACTTTCGCGGCTACTTCGTTCCGTGGCTCAGTCGCCGCGTGTCATTCCGTGGTTCTTGGCCACGTACATCTTCGCCGCTCCTCTCCCGGTGTGCACTGCGCCTTTATAGGCGCACGGTAGGCGTGAATAGCTAATCCGTGTTTAGCGCTTCGTCGAATTAGGACATGTATGTATGGCGAGATCATTGAGGCAGTTTTGGCGCCCGAGTATTTTTATTTAAATTTTAATTCATATTATATTTTAAATTTCTATTTTTTCCTCCGTTTAAAACTCATTTTTGAAGTTAAACTTCTTTACGCACGCTTGACTTGGAGGGTAAGCTGGCGAATGCGTTACGCGTTGTGAAAAGTGTGTTCGGGCGAGGCGAACGGGAGTTGAGTGGGGGATATAAGCAAGAGAAAGCAGTTCGCGCGCACATTTTCTTTCTCTCTTTCTCTTATCGTTAGTAAATAAAATATGTATGTATATGTACATATGTACATACATGTATATATTGTACACACAATATGGACATATCTTATATATAAAATTCCCGTGTCACAATGTTAGTTACCATACTCCTCCGAAACGGCCTGACCGATTTTTATGAAATTTTATATGCATATTCCGTGGGTCTGAGAATCGGCTACTATCTATTTTTCATATCCTTAAGTGATAATGGTTGTCCACCTGTAACGTAGTGTTCTGAAACCTACAATGCGCCTTCGCGCCAAAATTCAAACTATTGGGTATTGTAAGGCAGTGTTCTCATAGGGGTTAGGAGGAATGTTATCCCAGGAAATTGATAGAACACTACGTTACACACCCCTAAAACCTCTAAATTTTCTCTTCTGTCACCTGCCCCTTTTTATGGTGGTACGAAGTTCGCTAGGTCAGCTATATATATACATACAGATGGAGCTACAGAATTATCACTTCAGTTATGTGGTCATAAGCACACTCGTTTTTTTTATACGACAAGGTATACTCACCAGCTGCAGCTTCCCGCGCGCCGCCTTGGCCATGTCGGTCATCTCGTGCGCGTGGTGCGCGCGCGGCGCCAGGTAGTGCCGGCCGGCCGCGTGCTCGGGCCGCGCGCCCGTCAGGAAGTATATCATATACTCACCAGCTGCAGCTTCCCGCGCGCCGCCTTGGCCACGTCGGTCATCTCGTGCGCGTGGTGCGCGCGCGGCGCCAGGTAGTGCCGGCCGGCCGCGTGCTCGGGCCGCGCGCCCGTCAGGAAGTATATCATATACTCACCAGCTGCAGCTTCCCGCGCGCCGCCTTGGCCATGTCGGTCATCTCGTGCGCGTGGTGCGCGCGCGGCGCCAGGTAGTGCCGGCCGGCCGCGTGCTCGGGCCGCGCGCCCGTCAGGAAGTATATCATATACTCACCAGCTGCAGCTTCCCGCGCGCCGCCTTGGCCACGTCGGTCATCTCGTGCGCGTGGTGCGCGCGCGGCGCCAGGTAGTGCCGGCCGGCCGCGTGCTCGGGCCGCGCGCCCGTCAGGAAGTATATCATATACTCACCAGCTGCAGCTTCCCGCGCGCCGCCTTGGCCACGTCGGTCATCTCGTGCGCGTGGTGCGCGCGCGGCGCCAGGTAGTGCCGGCCGGCCGCGTGCTCGGGCCGCGCGCCCGTCAGGAAGTATATCATATACTCACCAGCTGCAGCTTCCCGCGCGCCGCCTTGGCCACGTCGGTCATCTCGTGCGCGTGGTGCGCGCGCGGCGCCAGGTAGTGCCGGCCGGCCGCGTGCTCGGGCCGCGCGCCCGTCAGGAAGTATATCATATACTCACCAGCTGCAGCTTCCCGCGCGCCGCCTTGGCCACGTCGGTCATCTCGTGCGCGTGGTGCGCGCGCGGCGCCAGGTAGTGCCGGCCGGCCGCGTGCTCGGGCCGCGCGCCCGTCAGGAAGTATATCATATACTCACCAGCTGCAGCTTCCCGCGCGCCGCCTTGGCCACGTCGGTCATCTCGTGCGCGTGGTGCGCGCGCGGCGCCAGGTAGTGCCGGCCGGCCGCGTGCTCGGGCCGCGCGCCCGTCAGGAAGTATATCATATACTCACCAGCTGCAGCTTCCCGCGCGCCGCCTTGGCCACGTCGGTCATCTCGTGCGCGTGGTGCGCGCGCGGCGCCAGGTAGTGCCGGCCGGCCGCGTGCTCGGGCCGCGCGCCCGTCAGGAAGTATATCATATACTCACCAGCTGCAGCTTCCCGCGCGTCGCCTTGGCCACGTCGGTCATCTCGTGCGCGTGGTGCGCGCGCGGCGCCAGGTAGTGCCGGCCGGCCGCGTGCTCGGGCCGCGCGCCCGTCAGGAAGTATATCATATACTCACCAGCTGCAGCTTCCCGCGCGCCGCCTTGGCCACGTCGGTCATCTCGTGCGCGTGGTGCGCGCGCGGCGCCAGGTAGTGCCGGCCGGCCGCGTGCTCGGGCCGCGCGCCCGTCAGGAAGTATATCATACACTCACCAGCTGCAGCTTCCCGCGCGCCGCCTTGGCCACGTCGGTCATCTCGTGCGCGTGGTGCGCGCGCGGCGCCAGGTAGTGCCGGCCGGCCGCGTGCTCGGGCCGCGCGCCCGTCAGGAAGTATATCATGCGGTCCGTCGCCTCGTAAACCACTTCCGTCATGCGGTCGGCTAGCTCCACGTGACCGCCTTGCCTGACAATGGGGAGGGAAACGCAAAGCTCGTTATACAGTGCGACTGGGATCTTTATGAATGTGAGCGACCTGTGACAGTTCGGGGAGGGACATGTAAATACAAAAATGACGTAACAGATCGTAAACAATAATAATAAATATTTTCCACCCACACACCAATTAACCTAGCCCCAAAGTAAGCACTGCAAGGCTTGTGTTATGAGATGTTCTAGGGTAACTGATTACTGATACATATATAAGTATATAGTATCTAGAAATATACATTAACATCCATGACTAAGGTACAAATGCTCGTATTCATCATACTAACATTTGCCACCAGGATTCGAACCCGTGAGCTCTGAATAAGCGACACCGGGAAACCCGGCATATAATATACCACTCAGCCACAGTGATCGTCAAAAATAAATGACATTCAAAATTAGATATTTATAAAGACTGCGGCGTTAGTTCCATCTGTCGCCATTCATTCATAAAGATCCTTGTCGCACTATAGATGGCGCTTTGGCCGTTTGACCCATAACAAGTCAATCTGTCACTTCAAGGCTGCGTTTTAAACCTACGCTCGGAATGCAACTTGTTACCCTGTCGTTTCTATTTTAATATAATATGTATGGAACTTATGTAAAATTTGAACTTTATTGCGCCTGGAGCGTAGGTTTAGGAGCGCCCAAGACTAAGTCGAATTTATCGGTTTTCGTTGCGACTTTGCAGCTGTCTCGATTTGTTGTTATGGGCTATTGGGAACTACAGGAGCACCCATTTCTATGGGCGTGCCCCAGGGCTCAATATTGGGCCCAATGCTTCTCCTTATTTATATTAATGACCTTCCTTACTTTACAAAAGATTTGTGTGAGACAGTGCTATTTGCCGATGATACCTCTTAAGATGTTAAAACTAGAAGAGGAAGTGATAGTTATGATGAAGTAAATTGTGCTCTCTCTGAAGTTCTTCATTGGTTTACGGTAACTAATTTAAAACTTAACTCCAGTAAAACAAAATGCGTTAAGTTTACTCCACCTAATGTGAGGCAGTTTAATACTAGTATAAAAATAAATGATCAGCCTGTAGAGTTAGTGGATTCTACAAAGTTTCTGGGTATTACTTTAGACGCTCGTCTGCAATGGGATCCTCATATTGTTGCCTTGTCAAGTAGATTGAGCTCTGCAGCTTTCGCTGTTAAAAAAATAAGACTCTTAACTGATGTGGAAACGGCAAGATTAGTTTACTTTGGTTACTTTCATAGTGTTATGTCATAATATGGCCTTTTGTTGTGGGGCTCAGCCGCTAATATCGAAAGTATTTTCATACTGCAAAAGAGAGCTGTTCGCGCCATAAACAATAAAGGCAAGAAAATCCCTTAGAGAAAATTTTAAAGAAATTAATATTTTAACACTGGCGTCGCAATACATTTATGAAAATTTAATATATGTAAGAAAAAACTATGATGCATTTGCAAAAAAAGTCAAACCCATAACTTTAACACGAGATTTAAGAACAAGCTTGCTGTTCTATGTTTCAGACTCCAAAAATCAAGACGTTTATTTCTGGGCTGTAGTATTTTATTGTTTAATAAAGTTCCCCAAGATCTGATTGAGCTTCCACTGACGAAATTTAAATCTCAGATCAAGAATACTCTTATGAACAAGGGCTACTATAAAGTTGATGATTATCTAAATGATCATAATGCATGGACATAGTGTTTCTTGTAATTTGTTATTTGATGGGTATTAGTCATTTTTCATAACAGTAATATTGTACCTATCTAATGCCGCTTCCTATATACTAAATATAATGTTGACTATAAAATTTATTGTAACTATATATTTATATTCCAAATGATGTAATGGAAGGTGACTCCAGACGTATCTCTAAAGTCATTTTTCAACTTGACGACTCTCTATATAACAATACAGGGAGAAAGAAACAGCCCTTGCTGAGTTTATTGCCGGTTCTTCTCAGTACAAGGTCTGCCGCAGTAGTTTTGCGAACCGATGGCGTAGCTTCTTGACCTTCACAAGTGCTTGTAACAGCCTAGACTGAATAAATGACTTTTCATTTCATTTCATTTCATCTGCGCATCTGGCAGGATAATTGGTAGTTTTCTTCCCCATTAGAAGACCTAATCAGAACTACAATAAAAATAAATCCAAACATTTCGGAGCGCAGCGTGGAACACCTTTTTAGCTGCATTGTGTATGTTACCTCCAGCCTTTATATAAAAATCACTTAAATTAAAATCAGTCAAGCCACATCATCAAATAAAAAAAGTAGAAATAGTAAAAATTCAATCATCTCTCGAGTTCAATCTTATGCGACCACTTCCTAACGCCGGCTCTCATCGGATTAGCTCATACAGAAGCATTTAGTAGCCAGGCCAAGTTATATTTTCCGAAACTTCTGTAACTATTGCCAAAATTTTACTCTCTGCTCTGAATGCGAATGTTAATTGGACGCAGATTCTGTTATCGTGTGCTCTCAATTCAGCTTTAAAGAAAATAATCACTACCATTAGTTCCGCATGAGAGGTAACAATGTAAATATTCCAAAAACAATAATTTATTTTAATATTAAAAAACCTCTCAATTTTTGGAGTTTACTCCTTAAGAATCGTTTTGCATATATAAGGGGCCCGGTATGAGAAAAATGTGAGGAGTAAAATCTATCGATGAATGACCTCGTTACGTTTTTGGTGCGCATCCTATGTCGCGCAACTTTCTAATTTGGTTGTGAGTGTAGGGTATAGGGACAAGTGCATAGGGTATACTGCATAGCGACTATACCTATATGTTATTGGGTTTGTTTATTTATATATGTATATTATTTTCATTACTTTGTTAATTTACCCTTTCATACAGTATCAATCTTTTTTAAGTGAAATAAACTCTTTTTGCGTCTGGTTAGACTATCGAACTTAAGGAGTAAACTCCAGTCGTGCGTCGGAGCTGACACACACAATTTTTTAATTCAAACTAGGTAGTTTGATTAAACATTCTTAGCGTCCATTGCACCGACATTATAAAATCAAATTAAGGCGTAAGCCTGTTTAGCACATCATTCCACCTATGTTAATTGTTCAAAGTCTAATAGAGATAGAATTAGGTTTAAACATGATAAGCTTTTGTTAAGAATTTTGGTGCAATTGGGCCTAAATTAATGTGTGAATATATCAGGTCATACTATATCTATGTGATTAGGTCATACTAATTGAATAAACACCCAAATATTTTTGAAAATGCAAATATATAGATATTCTTTATTAGCATAACTTACGAATATAATCGCATGTCTAGACGGAGTGGGTGTGAAGCGAGGTATAGCCATATTAACAGAGTTTAAATGATTTGACCTCTCTTTGAATATGATATTGACATAGTTTACAAGGCTAGGCAAGAGAATTATACAATGATAGTGCTGTTTCTAAATAGAATTTTCATATTTGTTTCTTAACGCCTGGTCTGTGTAAATGGCAGATTTTTGCCAACGTCAAAAAACCCTTGTCTGTGGAGATGGCTGATTTTTGTCACGCGTCTTTTATCATATTTAGTAATGGTTTTTAATTTACACATCTATCAGTTTACACTTCTAATGTAGAGAAACTATTCAGGATTGATTTAAGACATAAATGAAGCCTGGATGTACAGTAAAACTAGAATAATAAGAGATAAATCGGCAGGAAAATAAAAACAAAACCGGCCGTTAAAAACAAAATGAAGGGCTAACACAAGCAGGGTTTTGAGCGTCATATTGCTTACACATTTGAAGAGTAAAAAAAAAGTATTCGGTATTTTTTGGTGTAATGTATACTCTATGGATGGTGTAGAGGTGTACTAATAATGTATCTTAAGAAATAAACCCCCTATTGGGGTCAAAAAATATGTGCAAAAAATTAACTCCACGCATACGTAGTCGCGGGCGGCCGCTAGTATTCTTATCTTATAGACAACAAACATACAAACATTGATTTTTTATGCAGATTATAGATACACTAACCGTGCCCCGCGGTTTCACCCGCGTTTTTCTCGTTTCCGTGGAAATACCGAGATAAAATATATAGGTACCAACTCTTAACATCTTACACACTTGATAACTTTTAAACGAAATATCCGATTGAGAAGAAACAATAAGTATTTTACTTCTATTATACTCTTTATTGCATCATACAGTTTAAAACATATAGTCAAATACATAGTAAGCAAAGGTGGGCTTATCTGTAAAAGAGATCTCTACATAAATACTCTTGATAACATAATGCTTAATTTCGATAAAGATTAATATTACGATACATATTTAACGTAGTTTTTTTTTCTTCAGACGATTTAATAATTATTTTGAACACAAAATCGGTTATTGTGATTAAACCATGATATCTAGATATATGTTCTCACGGACTTTTTTGTAGGTCTTAATGGGATCTACAAACCCGTAGTACATCATTTTGTTCTATTGTCAATAGTTTTTGCAGCGCAAGCAAAAATAGGTTTTCGATTTTACACCTTGTGTTACAAAATAGCAATTTTATTACGGATCCCTCCGGTCCGGTTTGAAATTGAATTTTTAAAAAAAAATATAGCCCATAGTCTTCCTCGATAAATGGACTACCCAACACTGATAGAATCATTCAAATCGGACCAGTAGTTCCAGAGATTAGCGCATTCAAATAAATAAACAAACAAACTCTGCAGCTTTATAATATTAATATAGATGAGAAATTGACTGACCTGGCACACTCGGCGGGCGTGTTCCCTGAGCTGTCCCTGGCTGTGGGGTCGGCGCCCCACGCCGCCAGCAGTTCGGCTTGTGCCGGCTGCCCCGCGCGACAAGCCACGTGCAAACAAGTCGAGCCCTTCTCCTGACAAATACAAATATTCAGATGTTAAATTTAATAAAATCAATACACTAACTTGTATTACAAGTACGGGGTTTGCACTTTGAATTGCTCACTTTCGGTGGCTTAGTGCGGTCCTAGCTGCAGCTTTAGTAAACCACCCCAGCATAACAATAAAATTAGATTCTTAGTATAATTCTTTCCAGTCATTAAAAATAAAATTTTAATATCAATAAAGTCCTAATAATATTATTTTACTTTTATCATGATGTTGAAAATTTATTTTTCAACATCTATCAATGGAAAGTTTTACTCATCTAAATTGTTTAACAAATTATTTAAACATCAGTTTATTAATTTCAAATTGTAGCATAAATCTATTTCAAATGTAATTAACACACATCAGATAAAGTTATAACTTAGTCAAATGTTATCAAAGAAATTTAACAGTGGCGCCTAACCTGATTGTAGTAATTGGGATCAGCGCCCTGTGCTAGTAGCCTCATGGCGGTATCTAGGGAGCCGCTGCGCACAGCACTATGCAGCTGGCGACCAAGCTCACTGGGCGGCTCGTCGCGACGCGCACGCAATACATATGCCAGACGGAGGTGCTTCGCTAAGATGAACTCAGATTTTGTTGGGCTATAACAGTTTGAACTAAAATAAATAATTTGATAATATTACACCTGATTTGCTTTAAAACACCTATATTTTTATCAGTAGGTAGGCTGTAACCCAATTATTTTTATTAGAATGATAAAATTTTTTTGACTACAGAATACTGTTATGATTTTATCTTTTTATTTAAAGGAGGTCAGTACTTTGTGTGTCAACTACTGCAAACTAAACTATATATAAAATACTAGGACCTATATTAATACTTACAATTATCATTCAGACTTTTCACAACAACTTTGACTGCTTGGACATTAAGATATCAAAAAAAAAACTATTGCGAAAAAACAGAAACATAATCATATAATCATTATACAATCATTACAAAATTTATTAACAATGTGTATTTTATTTTATGTATTGATGTATGTTTTTGTTTATTTGTTTTTTTTTATCAGTTTCTATTTTATAATATGTACAGTAAATTTTATCATGGTTATATATTTTGTTTTCCTTTTTTTTTCTATTTTAATTTTTTAGTTGCACACCCCCACTTTAATTGAATTTCGTCTCTCCATCCTATGGTTGTCTGGAAGAAATGGCTACATAGCCATAAGACCGCCAATTGTCCACCTTTTTAAATTATTGTCCTAATTTTGTATTTTATAATGTGGTGTGTACAATAAAGAATTATCTATCTATCTAATCCCCGGGACCAAATTTTTTCCAGTATACCAATAAACTATGTTTTAATACTGATTATTAGCTGTATGCTGATTTTTTTCTAAATCTGTTCAGCTGTATAAAGAAACCTCAATACTGTTATATTAAAAATCAAGAATTATAGGGACAAATTACTGCTGCCATTCTAGTTTAAGAATAATATTTCTAAACTATCTTAATCACTTACATAACTTTACTCCAAATAATATTAACAGAACAATATCAGAACTATATACATGTGTGGGATAGTTCTGTTTACATGATGATGTGTAATAATTAGTAAATTTATCCTCATTGTAACTTCATTGAAAGTTATGTACAGTGTGTTAGTTATTTCAGTTTTTTAAATCAGTAGTTGATTTTAAAAATATTTCTTTCTATGCTGTTTTTCAAGAAATTGAAATTCAACTTACTGCAGTGGGTCTTTTGGCTGAGGTTTCTTCCGCAAGTGCTTAGGTGCCGATGTATCTAGTAAAGAATGTTCCCAAATGCTATTCACATTCTGTGCTGTTAGTGCTTGGACCATCTGCAGATTGAAAAATACTTATCATGCCAAATGATAATAGTACTGTTATAGTAATATATAAAAAATTAAACTTAAGTACCGCTAGTAACGAAGGCGGCCAAGAACCTTGTCTCAAGGACTTCACATGAGATATATGTCGTCCCATACTGCGGTGAACACTGCAGCACTCAGCACATAACAGCAGGCCGCGGTTAATGGATGCCCACGATGGATCTACGATCAGAAACCATTCTTAATACAACTAATTCCTACGACACTAAGATACTTCTCAAACTGGACCATGGCTTTGACCTGATGCTCCACAATCAGCACAAATTTCTACTGAAGAACGATGTTTAGACCTCGATATCATCATCTTTATAAATATATTTGAAGACAAGACAACCAAGATAAAACAATCAAAACAGTGTTTTCAATAAAAGCTAATAAACTTTATTTGATACAAAAATAAACCATTTTACAGAATACTGTATGAAACGAAACGTCAATCAACAAAACACAGATAAAAAGAAAATCAAAATAAACAAAGAGAATGTAAACTTCACACACAGATTATTAATCAATTCTCTATCCTAAATAATTGAATAATCGGTTTCCTAATACTGCTGACGACATCACTAACAGGCAGTGGAAAAGTAGGTATGTAGTCTATGGTCTTTTTCCCTAATCTGTGGTTGTTATACACGTCATTGCATTTGTAGGGTTAGGTGATTTTTCTGAAAAAATGAATATTTATTTGCTATTTGGCATAGTTTTATGCTGTTCTGCAGCTCAAGCAGAACAAGAAACTTTAGTTTTAGTGGACAACCTAAACGTAAGAGAAACTCATTCACAGTTTTTCAAGTCTTTACAAGGTAATCCTGGATTTCATTCAACCGGCTTCATTTTACAAAATTCGTGAATAAATTACAGCCCCTATTTAATTTTCAGATCGAGGCTACACTCTCACTTATAAGTTAGCTGATGATGCCAACTTAGTTCTCGCCAAGTATGGACAGTATTTATACAAGAACTTGATTATCTTCGCACCGTCCGTGATAGAGTTTGGGGGACAGATTGATGCAGAAGCCATCACGAAGTTCATAGATGATGGAGGCAACCTTCTTATGGCAGGAAACTCGGTTGCTGGTGATGTGTATAGAGAGATTGCATCTGAATGTGGATTTGAGGTGATAACTTACATCTATGAGAACTATAATAAGCATATGTATTGTTGAGAATGCTGCCCATGATAAATCTTATTCTAGCTTATAAATTGAGAGAAAGTTTTGTAATTTATACAGCGACAAACTTCTGAGCCAAACCATAAATAAACTTGCATAGTTGATATTTTTGTATGTAGAGTTGCTACTGAGCAGCCTTCCTTGTCCTTGATTGTTGCTCCAGAAATTTGTCAGTATCTTTGTAGTGAGGATAAGAGCAAATTTTGGTTTTCAGATGGATGAAGAGTCTGCTGCAGTAATTGATCATTTTAACTATGATGCCAATGATGATGGAGAGCACACCAGAATTGTTGTGTCACCCAAAAACCTGATCAACTCGCCTACTATTGTTGGACCACAGAACCTGCAGCCTCTTCTCTTCGAAGGCACTGGACTTATACTGGACAAAGATAACAACTTAGTGTTGCCAATCTTGACTGCAGACAGCACTGCCTATAGTTATAATCCTAAGAGCCAGGTAATTTATACAAACAGCAGTTTATACCTCCTTTAGTATAACATTTTTTGAGTTATATAGTGATAAAGATATCTATGTAACATTTTGATGACTCCTGTTAGGATCCTATTGGATACTCCAAAGGGTTCTAGCACTTAGTTATTTGTTTGACAAATCTTAGCGATAAAAGCTTCACATAGTATTCTTTACATAATTGTAACTAGCACAATAAGAATAAAACATCTACCTATTGTGTGTGCATTAATGTATTTTTAGAAATTTTAACAATTATTACACGATGACATAATTATAGGAAATGTCTACAAATGATTACTTTCTTTACATCCACTATTAAACTGTTTTATATTTTTTTTTATTGCAGGTCAAGGAGTACCCTCATGCTGTTGGACGTAAGACAGTGTTGATTGCAGCACTCCAGGCTAGAAATAATGCCAGAATTGTCTTCAGTGGCTCACTGTTCTTCTTCTCCGATGAGGCTTTTAACTCTGCCATCTCTAAAGTACATGTATGTATTATTTTATTTGAAAATCTTCAAGTTGTCATAAAACTATGCACCTCTTTTTTTAACCCATTCAGTACCTAACACCTCGATCGGATTGCATTAAAAAAAAACATTGCACAGTCGACACCAAGCGGCCCGATTGGGACACACTACCCATGGGACTGTAGATCGTTTTTTGTGATGGTTAGAGTCTACTTTTGTACGAAGAAGTTTCAATAATGTAAACATAAACATTACTGATTTTGTCTTACTAATTTAAAGTGTCATCTTTTTTTTTATAGGGAGATAAAGTAAAATCCAGCAAGTCTGGTAATAAGGATCTGGCGGTGCACCTCAGCCAATGGGCGTTTGGCGAGCGCGGTCGCCTGCGAGTGCGTAGTGTGCGTCACCACCGCCAGGGGGAGAAGGAATCCACTACCACCTACACTATTACAGACACAGTGGTATGTATGAAGATCATTCAAATTCAATATCATTTATTCAGCTTGGGCTGTTACAAGCTCTCTTGAATGTCTAGAAGTTACACCATTATAACGAAAAAGACAGTCCTGCTCCAATAATAACTTTAAAATGAGATGATTCATGAAGTTAACTTTCATTACATAATTTTGAAGATACTTTAATTGTTTACATGCATTTTGATCACTTTCTTGCACTTTACTACTACATATAAATTATCCAAAACCTTTAACAGTTGTTTTTCCTATTATAACATTGGAAAATTATGTTACACTTTTAAACATTTGTTGACAGGTGTACAGAATTGAAATAGAAGAATTGAAGAATGGCAAATGGCAGCCATTTGATGCCAATGATGTCCAGCTGGAGTTTGTGCGCATTGATCCCTTCATCCGCACCACTCTGAAAAGACAGCCCAATGGTGCCTATGAGGCAGTGTTCAAGGTGCCTGACGTGTGGGGTGTCTACCAGTTCAAGATCGACTATGATAGAGTTGGCTACACTAGGCTTTACCATTCCACTCAGGTGACTTACGTATTTTTAATCTACTGACTCACTAACTTAGTAATGAACATCACAGCTAAATACCGGTCCTCAGCTAATGTTAGGTGTAAGTGTAGTCAGGAGTCTAGCTGTGAAGATAGCTAATGGTGCAAAAAAGTGTGTTCATGGCCATTCCTATCCTGCTAGCCTGAATCTAATCACCTAACCAACCACTGGTATATAGGCTATAGTAGCGGCGTACCATCAGGTGGCCGGGGTGGATCAGATCATTTCATCGAATCAACAAAAATCAGCTAAATAAACAATATTGTAGAAATACAAAATATTTTTCTATATTGTTTACTTAGCAAATTAACCATTTCTTTGGTGACATGTTTTCATAATAGTACATTATGGCAGGAACAGACTTATGAAACGCGACTTCACTCACTCCACGCTATGCCACGCCACGCGTGTTAAGTCAAATGAAAATGTACTATTTTCTATTATTAGAATCACATTAGGAACATCCGACGCCACGCGACTCCATAGAAAATAAGCGCCGCGTGGCGCAGGGTGGCTACGCGGTTCATGTGTCTGATTCTGCCTTTTTCCCGTAATTTTTTAGCATTTTATAAACCCTATAATCCCCTTTCTTATAATATCCCTCCCCCCTCCCCGAGCCTCACGTGATTAATGGATGAACCCTAATCATCATATGCAAAAGAATCTCTAGCAAGCAAATGGGCTTTAAGAGGTTTTGAGCCTGGGGGTCGTAACACAGGTTTTGTAACCTAGTACAATCTCCAGCTCTCACAAAGAAACTGTGTTATTGACTTTCAATACCCTTTTAGAATCTGTGCGGAAAGAGAATGGGCGTGGCGAAAAACGGAACTAACATTAAGATTTTTATTTGGCAATCAAACCCAGCAATCTGTAAAATGTCTAAGTTTTGTATTGATACGGATTTGTTTGTTGTTGTGATTTTTTGCGGTTTTTTATATTTAATCATGTCTAAAAGGGGTAAAACCTTACAAATACGGTAGAAAAGCACTACAGCGCCCTCCTATCTAAATAGTTCTCTTTCCATTCTCTTTTCGCACAGACTACATATATAATGTTACTTTGTGAGAGAAAAAACAAATAAATCATCACGTATACTTGCAGGTGTCAGTGCGTCCGCTGCAGCACACGCAATACGAGCGTTTCATCCCCAGCGCGTACCCCTACTATGTGAGCGCCTTCTCGATGATGGTCGGTGTGTTCCTATTCTCCTTCGTATTCCTCTACTACAAGGAAGATACGCCCAAGACCAAGAGCGAATAGTTATTTAATTTTATCAGCATTTATGTGTGAATGTGTTAAATAAAATGATGCACCAATATGGTATGTCGTGTGAATATGTTTGTTTCGTTTCTTAATAAATGAGAATACGTAGTATTTTGTGTTTTGATTTTATTATTTTCGTTTTTCCACATTCCAGGTTGCTTAGCTCTGTATAAGGACCGATTCACACCGTGTGTAAGGACCGATTCACACCGGAGTGACAGTAGAGTTTGTGCGGAAAGAGAATGGGCGTGGCGAAAAACGGAACTAACATTAAGACTTTTATTTGGCAATCAAACCCAGCAATCCTTAAAACGTCAAAGTTTTGTATTGATACGGATTTGTTTGTTGTTGTAATTTCTTGCGGTTTTTTGTATTTAATCATGTCTAAAAGGGGTAAAACCTTACAAATACGGTAGAAAAGCACTACAGCGCCCTCCAATCTAAATCCCATTCTCTTTCCGCACAGACTCTAGCACCAGAATGTAAAGCATAGCGCGAATACATTTGGTCGTTAGCCCAAATACGAGTGCCAATGGAATTGGGGTAAACAACTTAGTGTCAATGAACGGAATCCAGTACGCCCGTATTCGGGTAGTTTTTATTTTAGTTACCCGGCACCATCTTCCAGCCCGTATTACAGTGTAAATATCGCTTCTGGTGCCCGAATTCGAGTAATGTCTTGAGTGTACTGAGAAAATCAAATGTTAGAAGAAGTGTATCACTTGTAAATTTCACAGAGGCGTTGCTGTCGCGCTCTCGCGACATTTAGCTGCCTTTAGCGATACTGACCTTATTGGTCCGCGTCGCTGCTGGCCGCTGCCATTTTGGTGTAAATCTGCCCTAACTGCAGTTTCAATATTTTTTTAACTTTTCTATTAACGAAATGTTTTCCGTGATTTCGTCTATTGGGTTACCTATGCAAACTTCCACCTCTTGGCCTTAAACTATCCTTCGACCTGTCGCGGGTACAGCTAATATTAGCATAGATATATTGAATGGATTAAGGGAGTGCGTAGGTTCGAACAAATTAAGTAGGTACTTTTTGGAGGCAGTCTGCCTATACCAAATCTAGAGGTATATTAAATGGTTTTGTTTTATCATTGAAAATGATTTATCGTTCGCTCCAGTAGGCCCCGTGATACCTCGAGGTTTAGGGCCATGAGGGCTCAAAAGACTTGAAATTTGAAGGGCTTTAAGAAGATGTAAATTATATTTTAGAAAAGTCGAAAACCATTTTGGAAATCATAAATAACCGACATTTTTCGATCGAAAAGTCGTGTATTTTCACAGAAAATTTCCGATATCTCGATCCGAGAATGAGGCCCAATATCAAAAATATGAATATAAATGCACCTCGGTATTGATCCAAGGAACATTTTAGGTCATTACGCTTCTTTCGATATTGGTGACGGTTGAGGCTGTAGAAGTGCCTTAGCTGCGAGTTTTGCGCAGCGCGCTGGCGGCGCGGTAGGTGCGATATCACGCGTCGGGCGGCTAGCGTCCGGCCACGAGGACATATGAGAGCTCAAAGGACGCGGAATTCAATGGGCTTTAAGATGACGTAAAAATATTTTGAAATGTTTGGTTTTGCAAAAAAAATATTTATCTACTATCTCATTGGTCCTACGAGCTTATAAGCTTAAGATTTTGTAAGTTGTTATAATTAATTTTGGTTCGGTGTGGAATCTAGCATAATTCTCTAAAAAACACTTAAATTTGACAATGCTGTATCTTTGTCATTCTTTAAACATAATGAAAAGGAGAGTCTGGTGTTTAAAGTTTTAACTTTTAAGTTAAGAGAATCATGCCAGAATCAACACCGTTGTATTACGAACGCAGCTTATTGATGTGTTTTTTTAGTTTGAGGCACAGACTATTAGATGTTTGAGGTTTGACATTCTATCTTCATAATATTCCTGAACGCATCAATTTTCAAATGGCATGCATATGTCATTTATGTAGATGGCTTTTGTAAAATTAAATTTTAGAAAAAAATGCTTTACTTTACACGTAAATAATGTTAAAGGCTCATTAGTAACTTGTGATAGAATAGATTAGTGCCAAATATCTGCTCATTTGAAGAAAGCAGCGGAGTTTTTGAGCATTTTATGTGATTCGTGCAGGGTGTAGATTGGTGCCCCAATATTTCCATTTAGAATTGCAAATCCAAGTGTTCTGATTATATTATTCTTATAAATAAAGCATAAGTATCGTAATAACGTCCTTTTTGACAAAAAATAGTTTAGAACTGTACTTGCAGTGATGTGTTTACATCTCTAACTGCCCCGTAAGTATGATGTCATTGTATAACTGCCATAAAAAATATGTTGGCTTTGTGCCCACCCATTTTCCTTTTAGTTGTGATTCCTACAGTGTTTTGTAAAGATATCCACGCGGAAAAAGCGCAATGAACTCTGTAGGTTATAGTAAACTGGATCCAGCTAGTGTGACCTGCCATGGTTATACTCTAGCAGTGACAAACAGCTGAAGTGTGAACTTCTTGTTTATAAATTATTATATTGCAATTATTTAAGTATTGGGGCTAATGGACTTTCATTTTTTAGTATCACTTCAAACATTGAAAAGTTACAAATTCAGTGGCTTATACAGGGAATACTTTTCTTCGGTAAGACTTAATTTATCCAATAGTAACAGGCCAATGGACTAGATTATCTATTGAGTTCAAATTTTTGGTCCTATAAAGAAAGTATTTTTAGATGAGCCATATAAAGATTTGCTTTTTGTAAATTTAAATTTTTAAGTAGAACCTTATTGTAATTAAAGAAAATTGTACTAGAAAAAATTCTATGCATACCAGGCAGCTGCCGGGACCCATTTGCTACCTGGTCTGCATTGAATTTCATCTAGTAATTTCTTTAGATTTAAACATCTATACAATGATTAAAAAATAAAAATATAACTATTTTAAATTAAATCGAGTGTCCTGTAACATATTCATTATTGGGTATATTAATATCACTTCCTTAGGAGTTAGATATAGCAAATATGTTACACTTGTGATACATAATGAGTCCATTTATCAATTAACACAAGGTCAAAACCAATGGTATGCAATCACACACTGTTAGACGGTACATAGCTATCTATTCCACTCCTTATCACCAATGTATGCAACTTAATAGTTCTAATATTACGTAGAAACTAAACTGGTGTTATTTTTTTATTTCTATAAAAATATTTCTGCATTACAATAATCTAACTGTTCTATCCATCCTTATATAAAATAAAGTAGGTAGTGGTGTCAATTCAGCCCTTTCTAGCATGACCACCGAAACGGGATATGATAAAGCGATATATCGACATTAACTGTCAGACTACTGTCAAACTCCATAGTAGTTTGACAGTTAATGCCGATATATCGCTTTATCATATCCCGTTTCGGTGGTCATGCTAGAGGGGCTGGTATGATAGAGAATAACAGAGATACAAGCTGTTGTCAAATTTAAGTTTAGGTTTAGATAATCATGCCAGAATCGACACCATTAGCAAATATTGAAATAAAGCATTTCCCTCCCAAATTGTTTTTAAAACCTTTGCATATCAATGTGACATTTTGAGTTGTAGTTTACCTATTTGTGATCTCTTTCTTGTTGAATTATAACAAAATAATTAATAAAGAAAATACAAGCTAAAATAATATGATTAAAGCTGAAAATCAGCATTTTGTAAAATATGGCTAAAACACTGCTGAGCTTCTGCCATGTCTGCAGTGATCAAATATATTAATAATACTTATGTTAATTTGTGATCCAAATAAATAAAGTCATTTAAATAATTATGGATATTTGTAATGTAAACAGAAAGTGCTATAAGCAAATGGAGATGGATGCATCTCGGAGGCAACGCACCCAGACCAAGGCTACGGCCGAGGAGCAAGCCCTGGATCAAATTGCAAGAGAGGTATGTACACCCATTCAAACAAGTATATTTGAATTTGAAATTTTCTTATAGACTATTTAATGCTGGCATTTATTTCACTTGGCTATTAGAGCTATAGCTATTTGTAAGCTTGACATCACTCTGTTGTTTTCATTCTTACATAGCATGATAGGGACACAAATACCCTAGTGAAGTGTGGCCATAAAGGAACACACAACAATAATTTCCCATGCAATATTAAAAGTAAATTGTTTAATTTTTTCTTCTTGTCTCTTTTTCTGTTTTAATATATGACAGACCATAAAATAGTACATAATAATGGAACAAAAGTTTATAAAACTAAATGTATATGAGGAGTTTAGAAAACTAAATGTTTAAAAATAGGTAATTCTCCATTTTTTTTCTACCTCAATGAATCAATTTATTTACAAAATTATATAAATGTATTATATTTTACACCATATATCTCCACAAAGAATCATAGTGATTGTGTGATGAATGAGAGCATTAGTACTCCAGTCATGGATGTTTAATATGTATTTAAATATAAATATATTATCCGTTAGCCTAATATCCCATAATACAAGCCTACAGTGCTTACTTTGGGGCAAGGCTAATTGGTGTGAGTGCTCCAAGTTTCACTAGAAAAATTAAAATAAATGTAAATTATAATATATTTGATAGTATTTTGTTAATTAATATAAATTGTTACTCTATTTCTGTTATTGAATCTTTAATTTTATAACTAAGTTAGTCTTGTAGGAAGAAGAAAATAAATATAAAATTCAATTCAAACAGATATTACTTAATATAGATACTTCTAAAATTGTTTTCCTATAAGATTCCTTAACAGAAATTGAACAACAATTTAAATTAATTACCCACAAAACACTATCAAAATTATATTTTATTTTGCCACTTACTTAATAGTATGAGAAGAGCTTTGCTTTAATTTTTACCTGTGGTTTAACTCACGTATTTATCGTATGAATATTTTGTAAAGCTTGCGTTCCAATCTTCACTAACTTTAATGCAATGACCACACAATAATCAGGTTTTCATTATCTACAAAATTTGCAATCAAATTCCAACAATATCTGATAACATTGCTGAAAAGTTTTCCTACATATAAACACTGCTTTGTGATTTACATTTTAATGTTTGATCTGTCACATATTTGTAACTCTTATCATTTATAAATACTTCAATGGTGCCAATTCTGGTGTGACTCTCTAAACTTAAAACAAAATTTAACATCAGTCTCTCCTTTTCATTCTGTGTAGAGAATGACAAGGATATACAGCTGTCAAATTTAAGTTTAGATTTAGAGAATCATGCTAGAATCGACACCATTATGTTTACAAATTTTTGACCTTTTTTCCCCTAATTTATGTCACTTGTTGATATTTAAACAATTAAAAAACACAAGTAAAAGTATATTCAAAATTAGAGTTACATTTAAAAAAAAATACCTGGGACGCGAGCTCTCAGTGGTAATATGCCTTACGCGAGTGGTTATCGGATTAGACTATGCGATGCCGAAACAACCGCACAGTGGGCTGAATTAACTTATCAATTATTTCAATTTTACATATATCCAGTTTCAATTCCGAGAATCATAAAAAAATCTAACCAGTTCTGCATATTTCTTAGTCTCACTTTTAATATGGCTGGTACCTGGAACTCCTTGAAGTTAGTTTAAGTCACCGAAAGACAGCTTTTGTGTTATAAAACTTAATAAGTTTACGTATAATAGAGTACTTTACTATTGTAGTTCTAATATTTTTAAATTCAGCCGCTTCCGAGTTTAAGCAATTTTCATTTTTTATAAAGATATACAAGTCACCAAGGTCTTATTTTGCAATTGTAAACTTAATGTCCAAATGTGTTGACAAAACGGATCTTTTGTGACATGATTCTGTGCCTGAATGAAACATAAATTTATTTCAATCTAATCAATACAGACAACACAAAAAAAAAGTTTTTTTAACCTTCGGTTGACTATTATATATATATATAAATAAATTTGTAAAGATCGTGCCGCGATCATTTATGATATTGCTTGAAATGATGTACAGACTACAATGTTGGTCTGGCGACCAGAACGCGAAAGAAATATCTGGACCATTTAAGAAAATATTAAATTCCTATTTTTTTTAATCTTAACCATTTGTTTTTAGTCTGCTAACGTTAAGGTACGCGCTCACTGTGTTGCCGTAAGTCACCTGACTGTCCCTGCAGCGGTGAGCTGCATGCTATTATCGAAATAGACTTCCGCGTGTTCACACCTTAGCGGTCGCACTTCTTGGATATAATTAGAATAGAAAAATGTCAAGTATAATCGCGTGATCAAATAGATCTAAGTATCTTATTAAACAAAGATACACCTAAAATGTTTCCAAAAAAATTGACAACAGTGCATCCTTATCATTCTCAAAACAGAATGAAAAGGAGAGACTGATGTTAAATTTAGTTTTTAGTTTAAAAAACCATGCTAGAATGATCACCTCTGTTATCAGAATTGCTGAACGTAACCCTTAGATTTTATCATTTTAAATTTCAAATAAATATATTAGTTATTAATGATGATTAATATTATCTCAACCAACGCATATCGTTTGATCATATTATTTGCCTAAAGTCCATGACTTTACTGTTTTATAAAAAAAAAGTAATTTATTCAAATACGGGTCCATCGAATCTTTTATTGAAATAACAAAGTGGATTAACCTAATCTTTCATGATCGTTTTACGTCCGTCGGAGGCTTAGGGCTTTCGACTGTAACTGTAACGGATCAACAATAGTCGAAATAAATTCCTGCGCACCAAAAGTGCAGACAAACTAAGCATACGTGTACATATACAGGACGTCCCACAGGTATGTCACACGGGGGGATAGTATATTAAATATTGAAGATAGGATATTTTATTGAAAGAAGACGAATTACAGAAAAGAACGAATGAGATTTAAAATGCTATGTTATTTAGAAAAAAAATAATTCTCATGATTTTAACCCTTTCGACATCTATCATAAAATACATGTTTTTTGTTTCACATTTCACGAGTTTGATTCCCGGTTTTGGCTGGCGATTTGTTTAAAACTGTCAACGCATTTCTACTTAATATTAAAAATAAAATTATGTGTTCTTTCAGTAAAATATCCTATCTTCAAAATTTAATATACTTTCTCTCCGTGTGATAAAACCGTGGGACGCCCTGTATACACAATTAATTACAATCATTACTAAAATTGATATCCATAATACTCGATGCAAAATCGTCAATTTCTTTAGACGTTTGTACAACACTGCAAACTCAATTATTTAATAAAAAGTATGATATAAAAAAAATCTAAAAAATATTTTATCGTTGTATGTTAATCAGGATTCGACCTCATGACCTCAATAGGTAGGCTTAGGCAGCATCGCTACTACTACGTTACTGCACCAAACGATCATCAACATAATTTGTCTTTAAATGTGTATTTGTATTGCCTATCAGTTCATTCACATGTAAATAAGTTTGGGTTCTTCTGTCTACACAGGTTGATTCCTCGTATACTACAAGTATATGTGTTTCAACAGTTTATCTATCTCGCTATTGCTCCCTCGATTTATGTTTAACCGTATTTTTAAATTGAAAAAACATTAAAAATGTTACCTACATCGTTTACAACTATAATGTCTCAGTTTTTTTAATAAATTCCTGTTACATATTGTGCGTTACGTAATATTGTTCAATCTTGTGACATCCCTATTAAATGCAAATGCATTTACGTGCATGCATACCGGCCAGGCGGATAGAATGAGCGCAATTACAGAGTTGCGCACGCGCCGAAATAGATCCTCGGTCGCCCATCGGCCGGCGGTCGGCCGCGAGAACCGCTCGCTCAGGCTATTTGTGACTAGATAGTAGATACTGCAGTAGACCTTACTCTGATCTCCTCATTAACACTCAGAACTATCTGATAAACCGAATTCTAAGAATTGATTCTTCTTGAAATTATTCTTTGAATTAACTTACCAACTGCTAACATACTCCTTTGAACGGTAACCTTCCTAGATGTCGTGAAGTACAGATGTCCTATTCTGAAAGATTAAGATTTTCAATTGAGAGAGGTTTATTTAAATTTATCGTTCATACCTGCGGCGCTCGATCAATGTCACAATATATCTACGCGTTAAAATAAAGCTTGAAACGGAACTGAATTAACGACTTCCTATAGTGAAAACCGATCTGTGAGCGCTGAACACGTTTAATTGGCTCGACGAAGAGATAGATGGTGTTGAAATAATTATATTAAGATTATCGTTTTATGAGGACATTTGATGATATAACACTTTGTAAGCACGATTCTTTATTGGCGATTCATTCGTGCGTGGCATTGGGAATTCGAATTGTTTAAGAACGTGGAAATAAAGGGAATTTTTGATTCAGAGTTTGCCTATATTTAAAAGAAATCTTAAAATGTGGCTAATAATTAAATGTTTTTACCCCTTAGAGAATATTTAGAAACGAAAATTGACTTAGAATAGAATAAATAAAATGACATAAGCACCTATAAATTTTACAATTAAATTAAGTTTGACATTCGCATGCCCTGTCGTTGGCAAAATGGACGAACTAAATGAAAATCACCATCAAAATGTATATACTCTGTTTTGTGTGAATAAATAAATTTCATTTCATTTTGAAATAAAAACAAATAGATTAGTTTTTTTGGAAGCTTACTCATTGGCATTCTATATGGATAGATAATCATCTGGCTGAGGTGGTCATTAAATCTAAATGACCACCTCAGCTTCGTATGCTAGCATCATGCTAGAGTGAATACGAAAGGTGCAATTTCGCCTCCTCTCCTCCTTACCTCTATCTCATTAATGACGCTTGTTATGTGACTTATTGGGTTTTCAACAGTTCTGTTCGAATATCCCATTGATTTAACATAACCTCACAGAAAATAGAAATTCTTATTCCCGAAACTTGAGATTTGGAACCCGTTGAAGTTTTCTTTCAATAAAGTGACAATCTGGGATTTTGTCTCACACTTATTGCCATCAGTTTGATTTTCTCGGAATCACGCACATTTAGACGACGGGTAGGTGTTGGATAATCCATTTCTGAGCCAATTACTTCATTTTTTTATACTAAATTATTAACGAACAGGGCCCTCCTTAGGGCAGTTATGTTGATAAGTTTAACATAAGTTCCTCGTGCGTGATGCACGCCGCAACAGTTGACGAATAATGCTGCAGTTTTCATAATACTTTTTAATACATTTAACGTTACACAACTGAATAGCAACTCATCTTGATCAATGCCCAACTATTGATGACTTAACTACCGCCAAAAGACAATTCAATATGACCGACATCGGCTGTCAAATATACCTTGTCCCTATTGAAAATAAAGTCCCATACATAACTCGATCGATTTGATGTAATTGATAGATTATATTGTTTGATTTTTAACATGAGTAGAATATTCAATCATATGGTTTGGATTGGAGCTCATATGTTTTCATTAGTGAAGGCACTTATCTCCTCAAGTGGTTTCTTATCAGCTGATGAGTTTCAAGAATTATATAGCGCCGATTAGGTACTCGTTGATAACAGCACAAGTAGACGTGCAGCTAATTATCCAGATTAATCCTTTTTAACATTATTACCTACTGGAATACTGGATGTGCATCCACGATACTACATCTACGAGCGTAATTATAGGCAATATCTTATACATTGTAAGGTTTGGAATTACTGGCGAAGAGAGGTGTGAGGCGGGTCGGGACCAGAAATGGGTCGCGTACAATACCCGAGGTTAATGCCCTAAATCACATCGATCCAGTGTCCTACTTTCATAGAGCCTATCTGCTGCCTACTTGCTTCATCCGGTGATAATCTGAAATTGCATATGCCTAGCAATTACTATGTAAAATTGTAAGCCATTTGTTGAGGTTGCTAGGCAATGAATGAATAACAGACTTGTCAATTTATTAATTTTACTGTGTGAATAATTTGTGGAGTTACAAATACATTTTCTTTTTATGTAGCTACTATTTTCTTTTATTTATACATTTAACGGGACCATTTCGGACCATAATAATCATGGAATCGGGTCCCCAACACCATTGATATTTTTTGTTGTTAAAACATTAACTATACAATATCTACATTGAATTTGCCACATAACGAAACCACTTGAAGCAAGCTAAACTGTTCCCAAATCAAAGTCGAAAATGCAGGCAAACAAATGCATTTATGAAATCATAATTTTGATAGTAATTAAATCGTTTGGCGAACAAGCGTTCAACAGAAAGGACAATGGCGAAATATTTGTTGAAGTAAATCTATAGCGTCTATAGATGTCATTATCAGAAATGTTAATAAAATAATCTCAAAAGATTTATTAAACAATTGAGGAGGGTTGTCTAAGTCTGGAATTAAAAACTTAAAAAAAGGGAAACACAATTGACTATTTTTTTTATTTTTTATTGTGGCTTGGCCATGATGGCTTTTGAGCCATTCATTTTAAGTGATTTTAGTGATGAAATCAACTTTAAATATGTTGTTCGTATGTTTTGCATCGCTTTACGCTTGAACTTTATTTAATTATCTATCAAAAATATCGGGAAACATTATTTTTCAATATTATACTGAAACCATATTAAATAATCTCCACAATACAAAAAGAGTATGGCGACAATTCTAACGAAAATAAACTATAACTGTCACTGTAATGCTTGTCATCGAATTGTTGTTGTTATTGTTATCATTATATAACATTGTTTGTGCTTAGGTGCATGTATATTGCAAAGATTTCAATCGGTGTATTGTGTTTTTCTGAGATTTGTTTATTTATGTGACTTGGACTGTATTTGGACTTTCGAAATCTTTCTCTGCGACTGTTGAGTAGTGCTTGCCTAAGACTGCCGAATCTGATATTTTGCTGTGGATTTTGGACACGATTCTGTCCCATACTGTGGATTTTATTTCATTGTATCTACTATCTACGATATTGTGATCAACGATGTGGAATAAAAAATATATAAAAAGTGTTGCATATTTAATTAATATCCCATTAGCCCATTAGTTATTAGAAATCCTTTTTTATACTTTATTATTGCAGTGGGCATTTTAAAATTGTTAAGTACTTCTTACAGCACAGACATTGTATTTGAACTCAATAACTCTTGTCCGATAATAAGTATTTAGACGCGGTTAGTCAGTACCTACGCCAAAGAAAAAAAGAAAGAAAGCCAACTGATCATACATTGTAAAAAACATTTTTTTTCGTCACTAATCTTCAGGACCGGTGTACTTCTATAGTTCCGTTCCACGTATTTTTTATTTTGATATAAAAATACTTAAATCTAAAGAAAATATAACTAGAAAAAATTCCACGCGGACCAGGCAGCAGACGGGACTCGAACCCGCACCCTTCGCAATCCCGGCGAATGCACTGACCAATTATGCTACCGCGGCCCTCACGGACCGCGTCGAAATTCTTTCTAGCTATTTCTAGAAAATTTTTTTCTAGTTATATTTTCTTTAGATTTAAACATCAAGCAGTTACATGCTTTAAAAATAATAAAAATTATAACTATAATTGCTATTTCTTCTTTCAAATGTTTAATACTTGTAAAAGTATTCATTTGACATTGTGGGTTTACCTATAATGCGAAGAGATGGCGCTGCCTTGCAGCTTAAGAATAGCTAGAAAGAATTTCGACGCGGTCCGTGAGGGCCGCGGTAGCATAATTGGTCAGTGCATTCGCCCGGATTGCGAAGAGTGCGGGTTCGAGTCCCGTCTGCTGCCTGGTCCGCGTGGAATTTTTTCTAGTTATATTTTCTTTAGATTTAAACATCAAGCAGTTACATGCTTTAAAAATAATAAAAATTATAAAAATACTTTTGAAACAAACTTTTATAATTGTTTTTGCATTACTTGGTAGGACATAACCCCCAAAACTTCAAAGTAGAATATCTATAAATCGGGACTTCCTATAATATAAGAAAAAAGATGAATCAAATCAAGAATGTAAACTCTATAATTTAACATGCAATTCATTTATAGACGCAAGAAAAAATTTCAACAAAAAATTGTATGGGAGTTCGCCATTGTCCTTTGTGCCTTCAATGTTAAAGAGAAATCTAGACTCGATATATTGTGCGATATCTTAACCTAAGTACCCCTGGAAGCCTAGACTTCTGTACGATCTGGCTCTGACGTCAGAGAAAACATCGATCCGTCTGCTCACCCACCCCTACCGCATCCCAGACAGCTGATGTAACTTTTTCATGGGTTGAATCATCTGCGATTTCAAAATTTTGAGTTTATTTATCTGTTTTCTTAATACTTATCTATTTGAGAAGATGTTACCTCGAATAAATGCATATTGTGGATTTTTTTTCAAACTCTTAAGTTCTGTTTCATAGCCGAATCGAATTTTTTCTTAAATGATTCGCAACTATCGAATCTGAGGATTCATATGAGCTAGCATAAATAAGTAAAACGCGGCAATGTCTGTAATAAACGTATTACGACATGCCATTTGCCTTCTCTTCATCGTTCGTCCACCTCTGCTGTGCTTTCTCTAAAAAAATGTTCACTATTTCTACTGATGTCGAATATAATATGAGCCGGTTGTTTTTATGTCTCAATTTACGCTTTCTGTTCACCATGTGTCGACCTAGATTATACCATGAGATTGTGCTTTTAAAAAGTATGTCTGTGTTATGATGATTTCATTTTGTGATTTAGGGCAAAGCAACAATTGCTCTTTTTTTAGTAATAGCTGCATCTGGTGCATTTTTTGGTTGATTCTCTCCAGCTGCGTTGTAATTTCGCGTGTCGTTCTCTCAGACAGAACAGGGGGGTGTCCCTTTTGGGCGGGCGGCTGGAGGGGCGGAAGGCGCCGGGAGGGGCTCCAGCGTCAACGACCGCCACTCGCCGGCCCGCGAGCGCGCGAGAACGCCGTCCCATGCTGCACCCGGTCACCTTTCAACTTTCGAAGCTCTCAATTACGTTTCGCGTGCCCGTTTCGAGCTGTATTCGTTTACTTTTTATTGTGCACCGTTCGAGATAGTTCGCGTGCTACACACGGCGAACGCTATACTCATTAACTGTTTCTTCTCGATCAGTCAGTAGCGGGCGGTTTTTGGTATTTGAGGTATTGTAATTGGGTATTCGTCACTTGAAACACGTGCGCGTGAAGCCTCCGGTCACGTTGTTGATGGACTGCGTGCGTCCTCTAGCCGACGACGACGCGGTGAGACATTGCTCTCGTGAAAGTGTGTGAACACTGCATCGATTTAAAATAGATGCTTTTATTTACGAACAATGGGTGTCTAGGCGCTTCCTAGTGCGGTGTCACCTTTTGGATTATGGTCGTATAGTGTGGTGTAGCGCGTGATTAGTGTTACGATGGTACGGTTGGGGTTGGCTATGGTGACGGGGGTGGCGCCGGCGCTGGTGTCGTGGTGGCGCGGGCAGGGCCCCCTGCTGCCGCCCCCGCTGGAGCTGCCGAGCCCTTGTTCGGAGAAATTCCCCAAATGGCCTCCGAAACGTTCGCCCTCTTTGTCAGATTGCTTGGAGAGCAGCAGTGATGAAGAATCAGCTCGCTCTGTCGCATGCGTCGTAAGGCCCAAATTAGTAAGTATCCATCCATCACAAGTTTCAATAGAGGTAGCGTAAAGCGGATTTCCTGGGGCTGGGAAGGTAACCTCACCTTACGGAAGACAGGAAACTAACACTACCTTTTGGTGGTGATGTCTCTGGGTGATTAGGTTTCCTTGGGTAGGGCGTTGGGTTCGGACCGGCGAGGTGAGGGTGGCTGCAGCGGCAAATTTTCTGCTATATCAGCTATTCACAACTAGACTCCACTTCACTTAAAATCAGGCAGGGTAGAGTAATTGGCTATTCTTTACTCCACTCATGTACAAAATATAACAAACGACCTTTAGAATGTCAAATAAGACAGATGAATGATGAATCAAATATGAAACAGGTATTACGCTTTGCCATGTAAAATGTATGTATATGTATCTATTTTGTATCATGTCATGTACCTATCTGATTATAGGTACCTACAATACTTATTGTAGGTAGGTCTCTTAACGTCCTTCGTTCAACTCGGAAATTGAATATTGGCAAATGCGTGATTCGATTTAGATAGGCGCTTTCACGAGGTAACGGTCTACTTTATGATATTGCATTTTATTGTTTAGCAATTTTCAGTTGTTAACAATGAAAATAAATCTGTTTTAATGTTCCAGCTTCATTTAAGAGTTTATCTCAGTGCTGAACATGTTTTGTCTACAATCGCAGACGTAAACCCATTTTACGAATGTATGACACATAGGTTGCGAATTGCAATTGCAATCTATAAAATTTTGCCTTACTCAATTTCTTTATGTATTGTCTAGAAATGAGTGGACAATGTTAAAGATATTGAACCGTTGTCTTTTGTAACATTTTTTACAATATCTTGTTCTTGTGCGTGCGTGCACTCAGGTAAGGTTGACTAGGCTACTATATCATATAGTATCCTACTATATTACGGGATCAAATACTATATTTCTAAAAAAAATTGCTATATTTTGCTTAAAGCAAGGTCCGAAAATCTAAAAAGTAAGCTAAAATCCGATTTAGATGATCCGCTCCGCTAGAATAGGGTATTTGACAAGTTTTAGAAAACGATCACACGTTATTGACTAATGTTTATAGAGTCCGTAAAAAGTGGATATTCATCATTCTGTTGTGTAGTTCAGTAAAAATAACCAAATCAAAAACTCCATTTTCAAGTTGCCGTGAAAACGTTTCTCTGGACAATATGGCGTCTTACTAGTGTGTGACGTCACACGACTGTTATTAAAACGTCAAACGATACAATGTAATGTCACTTTAACCGGAAGTTTACTTGCGTGTGACGTAATTTTAGGCTCCGCCAATCCCAAGCGTTTTGGGTCACGTGACAATAGATAAGAAAACTATTATCTTTTTCGTGGGTTTTTAGTAAAATTATGAATATTTTTTTTTTGTAAAAATAGTGTAAACCCCTGCCAATATTCATTCTAAACACAGATGCTAACAATTGGCACTTTTATTTTAATACTGTCAAATACCTTATTGGAGCGCCCGTCTGCGGAGTCATCTTTAACTTACAGAAGACAGTAAAATAACACTACCTTTTGGTCGTGTTCTGTTTCTGTCGGTGAGTCAAATTCCAAGGCTCCACGGGGTAGAGGATTTGATCAGGCAGGATTTTAACATTAAAAATATAAATTCTTCAAACATTTGAATCAAAGCATTGATTTCTTAAGTAAATAAAAACAAACTCGTATGAAAAAGATTTTTGACTAATTAGGCATTCAGACAACGATATTAATAAGTTCCAGAGTAGATGGACCAGGAGCCCTCAAAATGTGTCAGAATCAAGTAGTGCTTTACCGGCTCAACCTTTAAGGTGTATTTACACCGCGTAAGCACTAGGTACTTCGTCAACAGTCGCGCGCAGACCGTTATGTAGATTTTTTGTTAGTCACCAAATCAATGTTTGTAAATTGAAAGCATTTATGGTTAATTTCATTTTAAAACATGCTTTAAACAATTTTTGATAAAAATGATTGTAATAATGAAATGTATACTTGGTTGCGCTGCACATTCGTTTCTTGCCCTTTTCCTTCCCTTTCGTGCAGGATATATTTCTTCTATAAACTTCTTCTGTTATGTAAAGAGGAAAATGGACATATTGATTGATTGGCTGGTTGACTCATAACGAAAAGCCAAAACCGCTGGACCAAGATTAATGAGATTTAAACAGTCCTTTATGTTGTCCAGAAATAATTTTAGACACACAAAGATAAGAGTTTTGGAAATTCACAACAGACTATAAAAAATAGACAGACAGACGACAGCCATTACATGACAGTTAGACGACAAATCTACTGCGGAAGACGGATCGACAGCAAAAATGTTAACGTTATAAGCCTATCCGTATTGTAATAATTGTACTTTTTAAATCGATGATCTGTTTTTCTAATCACATATCTTAATATATATAAATCTCGTGTCACAATGTTTGTCCTCAATGGACTCCTAAACCACTGAACCGATTATAATAAAATTCGCACACCATGTGCAGTTCGATCCAACTTGAGAGATAGGATAGTTTAAATCTCAAATTATAGTCGCAATTTTAATTTATTGCAAATTATTACTTTTGGGCGGTACGAAGTTCGCCGAGTCAGCTAGTATTTCTATAGATATTCAAATTTAGAAACACGGATGGAGACATTGTAATGCTCGATACTTGATAACAATAATTTTTAAAAAAAGAACAAGCGTCCTGGCCAGACACAATAGAACGTGACGTAGTATTTGAAATTTTTGATAATCGAGAATCGAATGCCGTAGAATGGAAACGTAAGTTACCTAAGTGATGCATTTAGAACTGAATTTTCATTCAATTTTCGTATTTTTATGTAATATTTTGGTTATTGAAGTCCTTTAAATTTGTTTTTGTCGCTTTTGTAAAATTGAGTTTTTTCTTTGTATAGTGAAAAGCTCTTTATTTATTTAATACACCCGTGTGAAGCCGGGACGGGCCGCTAGTTAATTATTAATAAAATAGAGATAACAGAGCGTAGTGTAGCGTGCGAATCGGTGTAACTATGGGAACACATGTCACACACAAGGACTTCAAGTACTCGACGTAGTTAGTACGTAGTGCAATGATATTAAAATATCGTTAATATAGTGTCCTTAACTTGATATAATTGAATAAATTGATAAAGTAATATTGGATATAAAATATATGGGATGAGACGTATAATGAATAAATTTTGAAAAGTTGTAGTTGTTAAGATAGAAGATAGCTAGATTGAGATGATGATTTTATTAAAATGATGACTAGAATATGAAATATCTTTATATGGGACGAAACGGTAGCCATCGCTCATATGAGTCGGTAGAGGGGGTAAAACGTCGGTACGGCTATGGTGGTAGGCGGGCCTGATGGCAAGGAGCCACCATAGCCTTTAGGCTTCCCTTGTAGTATTAGAGTACCCCTTACGTTGTTCCTTACCTTGGGAGCCAATCGCCTACCGGGCATGCTATCGCTAAGGCTTATTTAAGGCTAAGGCGATTTCATTTTGTTTTTTCTGACCGCAGAGGGTTTACAATATTAAAGAAAATCAGCGTGAGGTATTTGAAAACCTTCGATGGACGGAAATGACAAAATGAAATTGTAAGCGATAGCAATAGCCATAGCAATCCCGTTAGACGATTGGCGCCCTGGTCACATCCCCTATCCCTTGCAGGTTAGGAATCTTACTCACCGACGAAAATATAACACCACCATAAGGTATTCTGTAAGCTGAAGGAGGTTACATACTTCCTCACTCGGGCGTTTTTACATGAGCCTAAAATTCGCTTAGCCCTACTTCTCTCGACTTGTCTATACCAACCCCATTTGAAGTAAGCGCGATCTAAATAATCGTATTATTTCACTTAGCTCGGTAATTCCGCTGACTTGGCACATATAATGACACGACCAATGTTTGGCACATAAAACATCAATAAACGTCGATCATTCACCTTTGCTATTACGAAAGTGTAGCTCGCATGCGCTCTGGGTCTAGGGTGACCATATCTCAGGATTTGTCCTGAGATTTCAGGATTTTCGGACTCTTCTCAGGATTGCGGCTGGATTTTGCAAATCTCATGAAATCTCAGGATTTTTTGAATTTTCAATAAAATACAGCTTACGTTTCAAAGATCTCTTTAATAAAAAGTTAAACAAACTAACAATAATCTTCCTTTAATAATATTTGTACAATTAAAATCACATATATATGTATATCTTAAAATCAATACCGCTGCCACCCCGTCCACCCCCGCGCTTCGAGTGCGATTTGCAACGCGTGAGCGACGTCCGCAGTGTATATGAACGATAAAATATTACGACTTTTTTAAATTGTTAAGTACGTTTGAAAGAAAATTCTCAAACTGTAAAAATCTCAGGATTTTTCAGTGGAAGTCAAGCCTTTTCTCCGGACTTTTGATTTTTTCATCTGGTAACCCTATCTGGGGCGCACAGGGCGCAACGGTGCGCAGATGCTTTGCAAATGTCACGATATTTAGGTGCGCATCGCATCTTGTGCCGGCGCCGGCGACACCGCTTAGTCTATCGATCCCGTTCGATTTCCAAACGGTGATCGTGCTCAGTTTTTGCCGTGTGTCGTCGCGTGGCGGGCACCCGCCTCATTACTTTTTTGCGTGTATGCGGCTAGCGGCTACTGTGGCCAGTTAGTTGCGTTTGCGCACATTTTCCGCGCCTTTTACACGCAGCTTTCCTCGTACCGATCAGTGATTCTATGATTGTCGTGCTGTGCGTTGGTTGCGGTATATAAATGCGATTTCGTTTGGTTTTTTTCCGGAGTGTTTTTAAATAAGCAGCTTCCTACTGAAGGCGTGCTAGTGATTAAAAAGAAAGCTATTCGCATAACTCGAATAAAATAAAACTTGATTTGGCAATTTTTTTAATCGAATTGAAAAAAATGTGTAATTCAATATAATATTTAAAGTATCGTAATAAATTCTACTACGCATACCAGGTATGAATAAAATAAATAAATAAAGGCTTTCGCACTATATTTTTAATAACAATTTATCACATTATGTAATGTTTGGCTGTGTTCCGTGATATGAACATTAACCGATTAGATACTATCCTATAGGTGGACATTTATTATTCTTTGAGGATATTTAACTATTTATAGATAAAATTTCTCGTCTCGTCGATCATTTAGACTTTTACATACCCATTTGTTAGTTCTCGATTTTTTTGTCAATTTTATTGGGAAAGGAGATTGCTCAAATTGGCCTAAATACACAAAAAATATTGACATACACTGTAATTCTTGGCGTAATTTATAATTTAATTTACAGTCATTAGATTTCAACGGACACTTTTGTATAATATATTTACTTTAAAAAGGACTTTTAATTTTACCGGTTTGAAAAACATACGAATCATTTTTAATTTCTATGGGTATAGTAACATTCAGCCAAAGACTGATCGAAGTTGTTTATAAAAATAAAAACAAATCCATTTTGTAAAGATCGATAAAATAAATCATTTTTTTTATTACACTGTGGTATTAATATCCATAGCTATATTATCATTTTCACTAGATGCAAATGTGCTCAGTCAATTATTATAGATGGTCGGCGACATCATAAAGTCTATTGCCATACATTTTTCGCCAAACACCTCCATAAACACATTATAATCTGTATATATGTTAGACTTTAAGGTATCTATCTATGGGCCTACGTTCCCTGAATATAAATAAATAAATAAATAAAATTATAAGGTGTGATACACTAAAAATCTAAAATATGGTTATCTTAAAAACTTAACAAAAATAATGAAGCTACTGAATATATGGCTATAGAACCTAAATCTCTTCTAGCTTTCTTTGGTTAACGAGAGTTTAAAAATTCTCTCTAATCTGTGGCTCATTCACAATCATCACACAGTTTCTGTCACAGAGTACCTTATTAAAACCGGAAATGACACCTGATTTTAAAAGTTACTCTTATGCATTAACTTTAAAAACAGGCAACTATCTGTTAATCTACATGCTCTATATACCTGAATCTAATCCATAATTTCAGTACTTGGCTTGATTTCCCTAGTTTACTATATAACTTATTTGTTTTTTATTATTTTAATCAGGGTATATGGTTTATAGAAGTTCTCAGGGGTGTCCGTCAATAATATTCGTTTCTACAGTAATTTATATATAATTTCGAATCTAGGAAACAATTTTTCATGATTATTGGTCTTTAGGCCAAACATGTATGGAAGCTGAGCAATCTCCTTTGCCCAAGTTCCGCTTGAGACACAAAAACCGACGTAATTCTACAAACTAAAATTTGATATCAGTAAGGATGGAAAGAAGAATAAACGGGAATTTAAAGCGCATAATACCGGTGATGACGTGTGTCGCGGTATTTATTCGCTCTTGTGGTTGCCACTTGCGTATGTCCCATTATTGTTCCCGGCAAGATCCCGTGACGTCCTTGCACCTTTGTTCATCGCAATTCTGTAGATACTGTGGCGAAAGCGAATACTAACTCGCGAATCTGGCTTCCGCTATGTATGCGTAAATTACTTCTACTTCTGGGGCATGCTGAACTGTTTCAAAATAGAGTCGAGCTATAATAATAATAAAAAATTATTTCAGACTAAAGTGTTCATAGTTTTGTTTTGTTAGTAACATTTTTCCGTAATCTATGTTAGTAATACGTTTCAATTTAATCAATGTCTTTTATGGAGGCCCACCTAATGTGGGAGTAGAGGCGACTGCCACCTATCTGTCAAAACGCACAGGATGCTGTTGGGGCTGGCGCGCACTCGACTCAGTAGCGACGCATATCGCTTTCGGATAATGGCATGGAAATTATGGAATCCATCGGTCCTTGCCTCAGCGAACATGCCAGCTATGCCCACTCAGTGTTGCCAGGTCTCCAGATTTTACAGGAGATCTCCTGTTTTTCTGAAATTTCTCCTGTTCCACTGTTTTTCTACATGAATCTCCTGTTTTTTTAGATTACGATTTTCTTTATGAAATTGCATGTTGAGTGGCATTTTCCGCCATGTAGGTAACCTTAATAATTATAAAATAAATGTTATTGTCTAATAAACTAGAAGTCACAGAAACACATTCGTTGCTGGTCGTTATCTTTGATTTACCAATTCTAGGGAGGGGGGAGGGGGGGCAAATCAGATCGGATCGAAAAGTACGCCTCTGCATCTACTGTTTTTCTTGTAGATCTTTCCCTACATCTACTGCTTTTTTTTCTACAACGCCTCCCCATTGTTAAAAATCGGACCTGGCAACACTGAGCCCACTCTTTGCTAAATTTCTGTATTGCCAAAGACCACCAAGCCCCTCGAATCCCTTATATTCTGGACGTAACTCGCGTTCTTACATATGTTTTTTTTTTGACTGGCTACGCGGACCATTCAGGCTTCTTCTAGGGACCATCAGTGGTTCGGACCAAGAACGACTGTTCTAGAGGATACCTTCTGCTAGGCGAAAAACGAAAAGCCAAAACCGCTGGACCAAGATTAATGAGATTTAAACAGTCCTTTATGTTGTCCAGAAATAATTTTAAACAAACTAAGATTTAAGAAGACATTAAAATCGAACCAAGTGCGAGTAGGACCTCACACAAGACGGAACCTTCATTGTACAAGCATACAGCACTACATTGAGAAAAAAACATGGTTACCATGAGAATAGTTGTTGCTAGAACTAAGCCGTCGTTTCAGCTCATTACGAAATTAACAAGCGTCCAGTTAGCCGAGACAAATTAACGACAAACGTTTCGAGTTCCTCGTAAATTGTTGAAAAGAATTCTGTTGAAGAAGATTACAAAAATGTTGCTATGGCTTGTCTCTCCTGAGTAGTACGATTTTTTCCTAGTTGAGCGCTGGAGTTTTTAATTAGGTTGTGCCGAGGAAAATCTTATTATTATTTCAGTTCTACTTTATTCAATCTATCGGCCCACCTAGCATTTGAGTTTAGACGGCCCCTAGCTAAAAATAAATGTCACATTCAGCAAAAAGTTATTACCCATGCAGTTTTCAAGCTGACATATGACCCATATTTTCGTGTTTTTTCTAATTATTATTATTATAATAATAATAAAGCCTTTTATTTCATGCCAATTTTATTACAACTTTTAACAGATTATAAAATATTTATTAATAAATGAGTTGGAGTTTGACAACTCTCAGATGAAGGCCTCCTCCAGATTTTCATGATGCTCCTCTCCATACTTCTCTGACTTGTCCTTATCTTGTTTTTGATCTTATGAGTGAATTTGCAGGTTTGGTATCTATACGTTAAGGAAGGTAAAATATATGAATTCATTAACTTTTTTCTTAGTTCCACAGGAAAATTGCCTTAAAATTATTTCTCAACCACAAACATATATTTTTGCTACACTACACACCGTTGAAACTTATAACACTAAAGTGGGCCGATAGATGTGTCTGGGAGTACGTTTCGTCACCTTTTATTGTGGTCATTATTCATGGTAATAGTAAGTACGAATACAATGTTATAATATCTTCTCTATTTATCAACCTCTCCTCTGTTCTAGAAACTTTTGATCAAAATTTTCTCATAGCGACTTTTCAAGCTGCCAGCCATATTTAATATTTTCTTGTACAAGATGCAGCAAATTACTCCAACGTCCTATGTTTAGTGTAACTAGATTACATTTTCAGTTTCTGGCTGTAGCGGTATAACATACGAGTAACATAGCGTGGCTTGAACCTAATCCTACCCTTTAGCCCTTACACCTAACCGACCAAAAGAAACAACACCTCCAAGAGTTATGGGTTTCTTTGGGTTCTGTAATGTGAAGATGTTCTCTCTAATTCAACAGCACTGCCCTCTAATTCAAGCGATAAAACCGCTATGCACTTCCTCTCTCTGAAAGACGATCTTTATGGAGTTCTTACTGTCTATAGAAAAAAGCTGTCAATTAGTATGATCGGTAAATGGCAATACCAACCAAGCATTTCTCGGTAAAGCTATAGGCATATCTTCCTTAAGGGAACTTCCTAATATTTATACGTTAGCAGTTGACCCTATTAGTATATTTTTCAATTTAGATGTTACAAAAATGTTACAAATTACATTAATTGATTTAAATACTAAAGCCGAATTTACATTACGCAATTAGTGTTACGAAAGTATTTCCGTGATGTCAATATCATCAAAAATTTCAGGTATAATGTTTATACACTTGAAATTGATGAAATTTATGTCACAGAACTACATACATGCCACTAATTTTGTAGTGTAAATTCATAAATACAGCAGGTAAATGCTTAAAATAAAAATATTAAATTAATGTGAACTCTGATTTAAAGGGTATTAGTAAATATACACGTAATATTTTGGTTTAATAATAAACAATGACCTAGTTGTTATCAACTCATTTGTAACTGTGCTGTTTTCCTGTGATAAATTAATTCAATGTCATGAATTATTACCTACCTAATTATTCAAATGAATCATTTTAAAATTATTATTTAATTGGTGTCGATTCTGGCATGATTCTCTAAACCTAAGCTTAAATTTGACAACAGTGCATTCCCTGTATTTCTCTTTAGAATATGAATAGGAGAGACGGATATTAAATTTGGTTTTAAGTTTAGAGAAACGTGCTAGATATAGCCATTTAAAATATACATCGACACCAATACTAAAATCAATTAACAATAATCAATAGCTAAATCATTATGAAATAAAAATAAAACAAGGAGCACTGTTACTTGTTCAATATTGATAAATTATATAATGATTTATAAACCGATTTTACTCATAGAGTTTTTTTATATTATTAGAGATGGCATACCGCTTTACACTATAATTGGTTTAAATTAATTGTCAAAGAATTATACAATTTTTCTAATGGGCAAAGCATGGGACCAGTCTCTTCCACTCAGTAATTGACGACCAATAT